CTCTCCTGCTTCAAAGGTAAGATTGCACACTGCCACACTCACACTTAGGTAGGGCCACACCTCATTACTGATATCAAAATCCTTCGGGATCGCTTAAATAGATTTAGGGGGTCGTCTGAATTGAAACAGCAGTTCATTGAACCTGGTTCTTCAGGAGTTAGTAGAGGTGAGATCAGGCTGACGTTGGTGGATCTGAGCCAAGCAGCAAACTTACAGAGACTCAATAACTTCGGTTAGGTTCATTAGTAGGTCTGAATAATTTGCCGGAATAAATTATCAGGCCTCCCGACTCCCAAGACAGGTAAGCTCAGTGTTCACCTGTCTGTCTCTCACCTGTCTGTCTCTGCTGTCTCTCACCTGTCTGTCTCTCACCTGTCTGTCTCTCATCTGTCTGTCTGTCTGTCTGTCTGTCTCTGTCTCAGGTGAGCTCAGTGTTCACCTGTCTGTCTGTCACCTGTCTGTCTCTCACCTGTCTGTCTCTCACCTGTCTGTGTCTCACTGAGAGCTTTTTAAAGAGGTCCCACTCTGGGAAACATCTGAAAGCCTACAGAGTGCAGTTAGTGGGACTGCTGGCCTCATGCTGTGATGTCTGATGTCCCCTCAGATCCCCCACCTCTGATCCTCCGAGCCGTCGTCCTGCTGATGGTTCAGCTGCTGACTCTGCTGCTGGCCAGCGGCCTTTACTTCGTCTGCAAGGTAGGCATGTGTTCAGAGGACTGTGATGTGGGCCTGACAGACAGGAGGACATGGAGCTCAGAAGTGAACCTGGCTGTCATGCCTCTGCAGGCCACCAGGGGGCAGCCTGACAGACAGGAGGACATGGAGCTGCAGGAAGTGACCTGACCTGGCTGTCATGCCTCTGCTGCCAGGGGGCACCTGACAGACAGGAGGACATGCTGCAGGAAGTGACAGGACTGTCATGGACAGGAGCCTGACAGACAGGAGGACTGGAGCTCAGGAAGTGAACCTGGCTGTTCCTGCAGAGGAAGAGTAGCAGCTCCTCCCGACACTCACATAGTGGGTGTTTCTCAATCGCGAGTACGCTTGCTTGGTAGCACATGTCTGCCGAGCATCTCAATATGGTCTAGCCGCTGGCCGCGGCAAGTACAACGACACTACACGACACGGCCCCCTACACGACACACCACCTGACACCGACACTACAATTGGCTGAGAGATCGTACATGGCAGATTAAAAACGAATTGCAAATGTTGATTGTAGCATTTAAGCAACTATTAGGCAAATAAATTAATAACCTAGTCTCATCCGTTTGACGACACAACAGTATAACTTTCAACCCAAATCATTTGTCAACAAACGGTGTTTAGTAAACTTTTTTTTAATATAATTAAAATAGGTATTAATGAGATAATCTATTAATTATGTTTGTCTAACTGCTACACATGTATTATACATAAATGTAGATATGTTGTGAACATCTAAAGTTGGTTAAAGTTTTAAGATATACATTATCCCTCATGGGTCATTAAGGACCAGATAGGAGGGCCAGTCAGGCCACTAATGAGCTCAATCATTCACATGTAATTACTTCACTTTATAAATTAAAAGTACTAGGGGTCCTATTACAAAACCTTTGAAGGAATCTGCATCAATTAAAATAAATGTATGGCAAGTATGCGATCAAATTAACATATAATGTCAAAGATATAGCCAATAGACAATCAACATGCTTTGAATATAAAGGAAGAAGAAACAATAAACAGTATGAACAGTTTAAGGTTTTATGTGTAAATTGTGAACAAACCATCTTAATACATCTGGCAGTCTAAGACAGCAAACTAAGCTTCTTTAACTGCTGCTAGAACACTGTTTTACCATGGGGTATTTCTAACAAGACCAAAAAGATAAACAAGGGCTTCCAAAACAGAAGAACACCAACTCAATACAATATTTTACTTTCCTTCAAAACGACAAAAGCACTAATAAAAACCAATACAATAACATAAGGAAAAGTCATTGAAGTGGTTCGCCTGTTGTAAATACCTTGGTATACTGGCTTGATGATTGTCTCTTCTCCTTTGCGTCGGTCCATACCCCCCTTCCCATACTATTATCGGTCAAAAATTGGCCGGTGTGTTTGCACAGTTGATATTTCGTCTGGAACCCCCTTATCCCATTTTGGATGGTTTGACATCTCATTTGTAACAGTCAAAGCCAGATGACAGCAGTGGGGGAATTTCATTTATAATTTGCAATTGCAATAAGTCAAAGATATGTTTACTGTAGATTATAAAATGCTTGTCCATGTAGGCATACGGGAGCATGGGAGACTTTATCAGTGTTGTAGCTGAGATTCTTACCGTTACCAATGATGTATTAATAATAACTTGGATTTATATAGCCGGCCTTTCATCAGAGACCCAAGGTCCTGTAAAAAGAACAGGAGTAGAAACAAACATAAAAAAGGCAGTCCGACGAACAGTTAGACAGACAAAACAAATAAGATTGTGGGCCAAAGACCTTGTCAGACAGAGTGACTTGAGGGCCCCTTTTGAAGGGCGTCAGCGTGGGGATGTTGCAAGATCGCCGCAGGGACGAGCGTTCCAGAGAGTGGGGGCTGCCATACTGAAGGCTCTGTCCCCGAAGGATCGGCAGGTTGGTGCGGGGGTGCCAGAGTCTGAAGACCGCAGGTTCCGGGGTAGGGCATGTGGGAATTGTATTGATTTGATACAAGCAAGCCAGTGTTTCATTGTGTACTTTCAACTACAGTATATGGTCCGGCAAGTTCAGCATTCACTGCATTCACTGTGATGAATATACAATAAGACACTGATACCGTTTTCCTCAATGAACATTTATTGAACAGAACATCATGTGGGAAAATCAGAGGGGCACTATTCAAGCTGGTCTGCTTAAAAACACACAATTACACTGCGCTAAACAGCCACATCGACAAACAACGAGAACCTAAATAGTATGTAATTATATCTAAAACCACAATACGTTAATTACCTGTACTCGGTGCGCCATATTGTTTGTCTGTTCTCTGTAAACCTCATGTCTCCTTAAATATCCTTGCGTCAGCGTCAGTGTCGTCAATTCGCTTTTAAACTGCCATGTACGGTAATGTCTCTCAGCCACCGTAGTGTCGTGTCAGGTGGGCATGTCGTGTAGTGTCGTGTACTGGCCGCGGCCGCAGCTGGACCCTTCTCAAGCATCTTGCTTCAGAAGCGAGTCAAGAATACTTCCTGACATTTGGAAAACGAAGAGTGGAACAGGCTAGCAAGTGTGCAGGTGTGCGTCATCTGAGAGGCCGCGCCTCTTACATCTTCCGCCACAGATTTGGGGAAAATTGGTCCGTGCCCAAAGCATTGTGGGGATTTTAAGACCGTGGAGTCTACTCATGTGCAGCCTCGATGTTTCTCCAAACGGAGTACGCCGGGCTCGGTAGATTTCCAAATATGCTGGACATTGGAACAGTACTTCGGCGGCACTCGATGACGTAGTATGCTTGAAATAGTGGCTCTGAAGCAGCTTTACTCGACATTGAGAAACACCCATAATATCTAGCTTATCCCATCATATAAAGCATAGGATCATTCAGCCCCTGCTCTGAGATACTTTTTGGAAATGTTCTCAAAATGTCTGACTTTTCTCAAAATGTCTGACTTTTGTTTAATTTGTGATCAAGGCTTGTTTTAAAAGGACTTCACTCATCTCATAACATTGATGCTTCATGTTTTACTTGATTTTGCTTTAATATGTAAGAGTTTTACATTTTAGAGTTTTTGCTTGATTTTAGGAAGATTTGAGTTTTGTAGTTAAATAATAAATAATAATAAACTTCAGGTTTGATTTTGATTTTCAGAAAAAAAATGTTAAATGTTGTTCTCGACAAATGATCAAACATTTTGATTAATTTAGTTTTTAACGATTTTTTTTTTTCTTAAAAGTTTAACTTTATTTTGTACCAAATTCTTTATCTTAAATGGTATTAAGTTTTTTGTTTGTTTTATAAGAATTTACCAAAACTCTGTCCTTAAAACGTTTGCATATCTTTTGTATAATTAAGGATTTTGCTTATTTTATAACAACTTTGCTTATTCTTTGCTTATTTTTACGGTTTTTCTCCGTTTTAAACCAAAGGAATATTAATTTTAAATAATGAATTTAAACATTTGTCTGAATTGATAAGAAAGTGTAATTGGAGAGGAAGGGTCTGATATATATGAAGAGGTCAATCAGGTTAAATATAATGAGGGAACATGGAGAGAGACGTATAATGATGAGAACATGTGAATAAATGAAGCCCTGCACACAGACCTGAGATCAGATATCAACCGAGATCACAGAGATTATTTTCTATGTTCAATCAAATAAACGGTGAAACTCTCTGCATGCTTTCAGTTTCTTCTGCTCAGCGCTTTCCTTCAGAGGACATCAGCTCTTCAGAACAGATCTGAGAACAGGAAGTCTTTCCCACAACCTGGAGATATGACTGAGAGAGTCATGAGGAGGGAGTTATTATTCATCTGTATCTACAGCGTCTGACTGATCACCACACATTAAAGAGGCCCTGTCTATTAGTGGTTTATTATTCATCTGTATCAAAACAATTAAGAAAGTGTTCAATTAATTAGAGGCAAAGAAAAGGAACATTTAGGGTGTTTCTGTAACACAGTTTATCATTAAATTCAGCTTTTAGGGATTTCTCTTCTGCAGTTTAAGCAGTAAGAAGAATCGCTAAGAAAATGGTCAGTTTTATCTTTATTTTAAAGCCAATTAGCCGGCATTTTTAATCGTAAATAAATCATTAACAGCAATCAAAAAGAAAGAAAATCAATGAAATAATTAGTGAATAAAAACATATTTCGTGTTGTTTATCTTCAAAGGAAATCCAGTTTTTATTCCCTAAATATTTCCTAGTTTGACTCGATAACTAATATAAAGAAACTGGATCTTCTAAAATATTATGTATTGGTATCTTATAACTTGCGTAGAGGCAAACAAAGGGAACATTAAAGGTGTTTCTGTAATGCAGCTTTTAGTGATATTTTTTATTTGGCATGAACAGAACATTTTTACATTTTCTTTTCAGGTTAGAAATTAAATTCCTTTCTTCAACATAAATTCATTCGACTCCAGAAATGAGTGAAGTATCTTCTGCTTCCCCGCTCAGAAGTCTTCCTGTCCTTAACGAGCTTCCTGTCCTTAACGAGCTTCCTGTTTGTGGTTAAAGTTTTTAACGTCGTGCAGTATTCATCCTTTAATGACGGCGATCGGTCGCAGTTTGATCGCCTTCTGACTGATTCCTGCGTCGTGACACGTGTTCACAACGTCCGTCACGTTCTTGTACGATTCAGGAGCCTGAAGGAAACACGGGAGAAAAATAATTTAGTGTTTGCATAGTATGGAAGAGGATTAATGCCAAAGAGATGAAAAACAACAAAGAAATCCATTGTTGTTTGCAAAGTACGGAAGCCAATTCATGCCAAAGTGTAAAAAACAAAAAGATATTCCGAGGGAAGTTTAAAAAATAAAATGCTTGATTGTTTGCAAATATGGAAGCCAATTAGTGCCAACGTGATGAAAAATAAAAGATTATTGAAAATAAATAACAAATCTGTCAATAAGAAATGTATACTGAAATGAAACTAATAACAATTTTAAGAAAGCGTGGATAATATCTAAGATTAAAGTAACAAATATACGAGAAGGGTTAGGGTTAGGTGAGGATAAAAAGTTAGAAAATCACATTTCCGTAAAAAAGAAAATCCCATTTTAAATAGAAGTATCGAAAAAAAATATATATGAAATTATGATATTTGATTAAATTACAAAAGAAAATCAACAAAAGATTATTTTCTTGAAAACAAAACAGTTAAGGAAGAGGTTTAGTGCCAACTTTGAGTCGCAAAAATAATATCAAAAAATGTTCCCGAAATGTTAGAGGTGACAAAGTCGCCGCCACAACCCAAACAAAGAATAACCCAATAATGATTGAATTACTGATGTGAAAAATAACCCCTCCTCACCTCCTCCATGACGAGTTTTGGCGAGGCGACCCTGATGGCGATTCCTTGATCGGCGAGTTTGTCCAAAACGTCCTGGAAGCCGATGTTTCTGCGAGATTTCGCCCGGGACAGAGCGCGACCCTGAACACAACACAGGTACGGATCAATTCATTATCAATTCATTATTAAAATATACTAGAATACAAATGTACAAGAATTAAAGTGGAACATTTAAGAGAGAAAACAACAAATATTTCCTGAAACATAATTCCATTATTATCCAAGTTTTTTAAAATTCCGAAATATCAAATTTATGTAGAAAGCTAATTAATTAAAGTGGACCTATCATGCTATATTTGAATAATATATTGTAGAGCCATACCTATATAAAACATGTCTGTGAAGTTTGTTTTTCAAAATACCAAACAGATCATGCATTTTAGCCATGCCTCATTTCGCTCTATTTGCTCTTTCCAGCCCTGTTTTTGAAAGGGCTGATTCTGTGACGTAGCTTTAATGCAAATGAGCTGCAGCTGACCACGCCCCCCTGCAGGAGAGGGGAGCGTGCTTTGAGATGAGGGGGAGGAAAAGAGAGGCTCCGTCCTCCGTGTATTATTCTTATATGATTATATAGAGTCATTATTCATTTGTTTTAAAGCTCAATAAATAACAAAGAAGACCTTTGAACGGCACTTTTCTAATTTTGTGCGGAAGATTTAAACTTTAACGGACATGTTGACCGGTGAAACAAAATCTAGTTTATAAACATCTCCGTGGTAAAATGTTTAGAACACACAAGCAGAAATCTGCCGGAGTGTTCTGGCACATGTCCCTTGAAAATGAAGTCTAGCCACAGATTCTTGTCTTTTTCCAGGGATGGCATTGCATGCAGTCCCTTGTCCTTGTCCCGATTCTTGCAGCCAACAACAGCACAACGTTTAACTCCCTTAGACATCCTGGCAAGAGCATGCAAAAACACAGACTGGGGGAGATTAAGCTTTCCGACAGCCTATATGCGAATGAGAGGTTGGGCAATGGCCATGGCCCAACCTCTCATCCCCCTGATAGGTGGAGAGTTGCCCATATAGGCGGAGCACCCCTTTTCTGACGTCAGAGAAATTCAAATCTCTATCAGCTCCGTTGCAGCCCCGTTTTTAGAGATTTGGGTATGGAGGAAAAGAGAGAGAGGGTTGTGTTTTCTGACACTTGGTGAGTTCCCTGACACACCGGGGACACATATTCATGTATAACAGACGTAGAAAAATGCATTTTGCATGATAGGTCCCCTTTAAATTAGTTAAATCTCGTACGGCTCCGTGACAGGTGGTCCCGAAGGTCTCCGTCATGCCCTTCTCTGTGCCGGTCAGGACGTAGCTGCAGGTTCCCATCGTTCCTCCAATCAGAACCGGCTGTCCGGTGAGCTGAAACACAAACAGAAACAAAACATAAATTAACCAATTAACTCTCCGTCAGCTCGTTAAGACCCTGGTTAACAGAAACATACATTTACCAATTAACTCTACGTTAGCTCGTTAAGACCCTCGTTAAGACCCTCGTTTAGACACTCGTTACGACGCTTGTTAAGGCGAGACACCCCAGGTGAATAGGGTAATTCTTTTAACTTAAAGATATCAGCTAGACATTTCTCCAGTTACTTACTGTATTGTATTACAAGTTTTCTGAAATAGCATGTTTAAATATGCAAATGAGCCATTATCTCATGAAATATGCGCATATTTTAACACATTTCAGGAACCAAAATCTGAACTTTGGATAAAGCCAGGATCAAAATTATTGTTTCATTTTGTAGTCATATTAGTATCTAAGGCTTTTACAGAAGGGATTTTGGATATCTCTTTGTATCACTCCATAAATCAGAAAATACTGTCAACAGCCCTAAAATATCAATTTTCGCCATGTTTTTAGGTATAAAATGTTATATAATTTAGGCTATGAATTATATATGACCAAACCCTTCTGTAAAAGCCTTCATAATATTGATAGGAATAGAACTGGAAGGTTTGGTGTATGTACGTGCTACTGAAGTGGACATTTCGAACTCAGAGTAGGAGAAAAAACTCATTTTGAGAAAACGACCTTTAAAGATTGCAGTGTGGCGCTAGCTAAACCCTCCTGTTATCTGGATGATAGCTTGCGCATCGTCGCACTCCGTGAAGGTATTTCATGTTCAGGGTCATTTGTTTTTTGTATAACCTTGCTTTGTGCAAGTGACAATTGTTGTCGTCTTCTCTGTGAACGTTTTTTTCGCCGTTCTTTTGCCATTTTGAGATTTAAATTTCCAGCGAAAGCTAACCAGGAAGTGCTTTAGCACACCACGTGACGCATCTGAACGAATCACGTTGTCAGAAATTGACACCAGCCAATGAGATTTTGTTTCTTGGTTTAAGACCCCTTTGTACTTTCACGATTGGTTGCTGATACAAAGGAAATGACCATATTTGGATCCGATGAGATTGTGCAGGAGAGACTGAGCTTTCCAACGATACCTCTGATGACATGGTGCAAACAGCGGTCGCTGTACTTTATGTTACGTTAGAAAGCTAACTTTTGGTGAATTTAGGAGAAACCTACAGACGCAAATAGACAAACTATAGTAAAATAAACACTTAAATGTGTATTTTGTACGTTTTCCTTCCAAAAGCCTGAAAGAAAGTTATGGAATCAAAATAGCACAAAATCTCAAAATTGACCAGTGCAGGAAAAACGATGTTTTTGCCTGCCGTGTCTCGCCTTAAGACCCTCGTTAACAGGAACATACATTCACCAATTAACTCTACGTTAGCTCGTTAAGACCCTCGTTTAAGACCCTCGTTTAAGACCCTCGTTACGACGCTTGTTAAGACCCTCGTTTACAGGAACATGAATTAACCAATTAACTCTCTCCGTCAGCTCGTTAAGACGCTCGTTAAGACCCTGGTTAACAGAAACATACATTTACCAATCAACTCTACGTTAGCTCGTTAAGACCCTCGTTAAGACCCTTGTTTAGAAATTCGTTACGACGCTTGTTAAGACCCTCGTTAACAGGAACATAAATTCACCAATTAACTCTACGTTAGCTCGTTAAGACACTCGTTAACACCCTCGTTAAGACCCTCATTGTTAAGACCCCTCGTTAAGACCCTTGTTCAGATTCCCGTTAAGACCCTCGTTAAGACCCTCGTTGTTAAGACCCTCATTGTTAAAATACTTAAGACGCTCGTCGTTAAGACCCTCGTTAAGACACTCATCGTTAAGACCCTCGTTAAGACCCTTGTTAAGACCCTCGTCGTTAAGACACTCGTTTTAGACACTCGTTAAGACCCTCGTTAAGACCCTGAGGAAGACACTCGTTAGCACACTCGTTAACAGAAACAAATTCACTACTGAACTATCTGTCAGCTTGTTAAGACCCTCGTTAAGACCCTTTAAGAGGCGGTGTGATGCGTTCAGGGACCTGGTAGTCGACGGGGATGAGGGGGTGGTGGGGGGGGAAGGCTCGGGTGGACCCCTTGCGATGGATCAGGAGAGTTTTCTGCCTCCCGTCCACCATGTGCTCCTCCACTTTGGCGATGTTGTGAGAAACGTCGTAGATCACGTGCATGTCGAGGTCGTCCGGAGTCGTGACGAACACTTTGGCGAACGCCTGGAAATAAAGAGGGGGGGGGGGTTAGGGAATGTTAGAAACATCTCCCTGGTCCCCGGCTTGAGCTTCAATCTCAGGATCCATGTATCTGTGATCCTCTCCAGAATGGAAGTAGTCATCACATACAGAGCATCAACTAGTTCCTGAACAGTGTCCTTCACATGCTGATATCCAAGAGAGGGAGTTACACAGTCACAAGATGGAGGAATAGAAAGCAGTATTCAATGTTTACTTCATTTCATTGTCCCGCTCATGGTACGCATAGCCAAATGTACAATAATTGCCAACAAAACATGTCTCTACACACCATTGATCTTATATGACCTGCCCCTTTCTAAAAAAAACAAAATAAATACAAATAGATGGTCTACCCTTCATAATAAAAAAAAGTGTTCACAGCCACACATAAGAGTACACCCTCATCTGAGTCCTACTGGAGAAGAAGGTGGAAAGCGGCGCCTAATAATAATAATAATAACAATAACAATGGGACCTGCAATTAAAGAACAGACATCACATCAAAGACATAAAAAATATTCAACAATGCAGGACCAGAGTACATTATTCACATTCTGCTTCATACAGTCCCATCTTTCTTCATTTATACCATTTCTTTAACTGAAAAATACACATACAATTCTTTAGATCAGGGGTGGGCAAACTTTTTGGCTCGGGGGCCACTATGAGTTTTAAATTTGACAGACGGGCCGGGCCAGTAGCAGATCGATAAAAAAATATTTAGCTGTCCACTCCTCATTATACACTCGGCACTCATTGTCGACTTTTCTTTTCTTTGGTCCACTCATTGTTACAGATGCAGGTTCAAAGGTGAATTATTGCGTCATTGCGTCATCGTTGGCGTCATGACGTAACCGTTTACGTGCCTTCTTATGACCCACACAGCGTTTTACGTTGCTGATTTTCTCCGTAACACCGCTCACAACAACATCAATAGAGGACTGCGTCTGGTAGTTTGTAATCATACGAAGCCAGATTAAATTAAAGAACTACTTCTCCAGCCTTACCTTTCTCCAGAGTGCCGTGGTGTTTATTAATGTGGTTCAGCTGTATTACCGCCCGCTACAGTGCTGCTCGTCCACCGGAGTTTATTCTACCGTTAACTCGCGGCAGCAGCCGCTGTAAAGTCTTCACTGTCTGACTGTCACACAAGCAGCTGATACATATCCCCCCCCCCATCAGTGAATGTGTTTCAGTCTGAAAGCTGTCTGGCATCACAACGCTGTTATGAACGTTTCTCTGATTCTACAGGTGATGTTAGCATAGCAACCGAAGCTAATCAGACTATCTTGACTACTTGTTATCATATTGTGGCATAAGCCGTTTTCTACACCCATATTTTACCGGCGTAGTTTTCGTTATGATTTGACTTGTGATGGCCACATGTAGCCCATGTATTGATCCGATAGCTGCAATAATACAAAACAGGAAAACGTCTGCCTCTCCACAATGATCAATAACAGTGAACGGATGGTCATTAAAGTAAGGTCAAATAAACAGAATCACACTAAGCCTGGTTCGTGTTGCCTGACTTTATATAAGTGTTTTTAATAAGTGTGTGGTCGTGTTCTAGTCCCTTTGCTCAGCGCTACTGCTTGTTACTTGTATTAGCCGTACTCTCCATGAACTGTTATTGCTGCTCAGGTTAATCTCGACCCCCTCCAATGTAAGCGTGACGTATTTGGTTCTTGGATCTTGCCGGGTTGCCGAGTGGGGCCAGCTGAGAGAATAGACCAGACTCCAGCAAAGGTCATTTGTGTCTAGAGTGCGCCATCTAGTGGGATCAACTGGAATGCCAGGTATTGCAGGAAAAAGGCAAAATGAATGCGGTCTTTACGATAATTTGGACAATTTTGTACCAATATTCGGCGGGCCGGATTAAAAAGCCCAACGGGCCGTATATGGCCCGCGGGCCTTAGTTTGCCCATGCCTGCTTTCGATCCTTTTGTTGAGAATTCCACCATTTTACACCAACCACCGAAATACACATTTGCTTTAGAGTAGTCCTTGCATAAGGATGCTTAAATGTAATGTCCTTCTGTGGTCTTCCTTGTCTGATCCAAAAACAAACAGCTGTTGTAAATACCCTGGTAACATTCTGCTTGTTGCCCTGAGCATTACTGATGATGTCTGCAGCTATCTCTTTGAGTTTCAAGAGTCCTGACTTTTAAAACAGTCCGTTGTGTTCTCTTGAATCAGCTTATGAATTATTCTTACTGCCCTTTTCTGTGATATTGACAATGGCTTTATGTTGCTCATATACGTGTTGCCCCACACTTCTATAGAGCAAATACAAAAAGGCAAAATGAGTGAACAGTACAGCACCCTCAATGCAATCCAGCAAATACTTTGCCTTGTTGAGAACAGAAGTATTCCTAGACACTTTTGTTTTAGCATGTGCTATGTGTGATTTCCACGTCAGGTTATCATCCAGCGTCACACCTAAAATCAAAATTCAGAAATTCAATAGAAACTCCATCAGTGAAATGTTTTCATCTTTTTTTCTATTAGCAAAAACCATAAACTTCGTTTTATTCAAATTTAGGGTTAACTTATTTTCATCAAACTATCTTTTAAGTTTGACCATTTCATGTCCAATACACTTTGCTAAAATGTTTGAATCATCTCCTGAACAAAATAAAAGTTCAGATTAGCTCCACGTCAGAAATGAGCATGCTTGTCACATGTCTATCTCCATAGAGGCTGAATCATCATGTTCATCACATAGCTATCATATGCCTCAAACAGTCCTGATGCTCTTCTAGGTAATCATACATCCTGTCATGTTCACAGCTACAGCTGGGATACCTTTGTTATCATGTTACTCTCATGTTGGAAGAGGACATTCAGGATCTTCAGGATCATTGACCCAGGTAGGTGTGTGTGTGTGTGTGTGTGTGTGTGTGTGTGTGTGTGTGTGTGTGTGTGTGTGTGTGTGTGTACCTGTCGGGTCAGGAAGGTCATGGAGGCTCTGTTGACCCAGGCGTAGTTCCCGGCGGCTGCCATGGCCTTCAGGTAGTCCTGGCCCTCGGGGGAGTGGATGCGAGCGCAGGCCAGCTGACGGTCGTTCACCACGATCTGATCGCGCTTCATCGCCTTCTCCATCGCCACCAACGCGTCTACAACCAGGAGAGTTACTTTAAAGTGTGTGTGTGTGTGTGTGTGTGTGTGAGTGTGTACTCACTGAAGAAGTCCTGTATGTGTGTGTCTCTCTGTTTGTGTGAGTGTGTGTCTGTGTGTGTGTGTGAGTGTGTGTGTCTCTGTGTGTGTCTCTATGTGTGTGTGAGTGTGTGTCTGTGTGTGTGTGTGAGTGTGTGTCTGTGTGTGTCTCTGTGTGTGTCTCTATGTGTGTGTGAGTGTGTGTCTGTGTGTGTGTGTGAGTGTGTGTCTGTGTGTGTCTCTGTGTGTGTCTCTATGTGTGTGTCTGTGTGTGTGTCTCTGTGTGTGTGTGAGTGTGTGTATGTGTGTGTCTCTCTGTGTGTGTGTGTGTGTGTGTGTGTAGCCTCGTCTCAATACCCCTCCTCGACTCCTCCTTTCCCTCACTCGCGTCCCTTCCTTGCGTCTTAGCTCCGCCTCCGTAAGATGCGAGCGAGAGACACGAGGAGGTGACGCGAGGACAGAGGAGTCCTCGGGTATTAATTGGGATGTCCTCGTTCACTCAAACGTCACTCTTAAACGACGTCTGTTAATGATGACATGTGCACAGCTGTATCCCCTCTCATCGGGCTTAACTGAATAACCTTTAGAACCTTTAGAACCTTTAGAACCTTTAGAACCGGCCCATTTGTTGTTAAATATGTATTTAAATGATGAATCTTTCTCTTGTTAGTCAAGGAATTCAATGTATGATGGTTGGTCCTGCTTTTGTGTTCCGTGTTGGTGTAAAATGTACATTTCAATAAAATTATAATGATAATAATGTGAAAGCCTTTACTCTGAACATGTGTGTCCTGTAGATCCCCACATTCACCACAAACACACATTCAGGACTGTGCATTTTAAATAATTTAACTACTCAATATTTTAACACAAAACAAAACAAATAATTGTTATTTATCAAGATCTAGCCATTTATGAAATAGCTTTCTTAATAGCTATGTTTTAGTGACGTTCAAGATCATTAAACATGACTTCAATTGTTAGTATAACCTTAAGAAATGAATTGCACATAATAATTCCCACGGAGCTGTGAGCACTTTCCCACTCATTCTTCCAGTTCTCCGTTTTCCTCTCTTGAAATCGACCAGCTGTGAAGGTGGGGGCGGGGCCAGCTGTGAAGGTGGGGGCGGGGCTTATATACGCAAGTAGTGAAAACACTTCCACGTAGTCGTGTATCCTCCCTCTCGTCTCCTCCCTCACCCCTCCTCGACTCCTCCGTGTGCATTTCAGCTATTGGGACGTCCTTCAAAATGGCGTGTCTTGATCGATTTCCGGGTCAAGTCCCGGAGGAGGGGAAGAGAGGAGTCGAGGAGGGGAAGAGAGGAGTGGAGGAGGGGTATTGGGATGAGGCTTGTGTGTCTGTGTGTGTGTGTGTGTGTGTGTGTGTGTGTGTGTGTGTGTGTGTGTGTGTGTCTGTGTGTGTGTGTACCTGTGGCCACCTGGTGTCCTAACCCCCTGCTCCCGCTGTGGATCATCACACACACTTGTCCCTTGTGGTCGATTCCCATCTTCTTGGCTGCGTAGTCGTTGTAGATCTCTTCGACGACCTGGATCTCACAGTAATGGTTTCCAGCTCCCAGAGTTCCCAGCTGCAGAGAGAGGGACGGTTATTAATCAATTACTGAATACACCTGTAAATAAGGTAGGGGGGGGTGAGGGGGGGGGGGGGGGGGTGTACCTGAGGAAGGCCTCTCTTCTTGGCTTTAGACGACACCTTGTTAGGATCGGCCTGAAGCATCCGTCCGTTCTCCTCACAGTGCTCCTTATCCTCCGCCCAGGCATAGCCCTCCCTCAGAGACCAGTCCACCCCCATCTCCAGGGCCTCCTCCAGGTCCCTACAGGTGAGACAGGTGAGAGAGAGACAGGTGAGAGACAGACAGGTGACATAGAGACCAGTCCACACCCATCTCCAGGGCCTCCTCCAGGTCCCTACAGGTGAGACAGGTGAGAGAGAGACAGGTGAGAGACAGACAGGTGACATAGAGACCAGTCCACACCCATCTCCAGGGCCTCCTCCAGGTCCCTACAGGTGAGACAGGTGAGAGAGAGACAGGTGAGAGACAGACAGGTAACATAGAGACCAGTCCACACCCATCTCCAGGGCCTCCTCCAGGTCCCTAATGAGAGACAGACAGGTGAGAGAGAGACAGGTGAGAGACAGACAGGTGAGAGACAGACAGGTGAGAGACAGACAGGTGAGAGACAGACAGGTAACATAGAGACCAGTCCACACCCATCTCCAGGGCCTCCTCCAGGTCCCTACAGGTGAGACAGGTGAGAGAGAGACAGGTGAGAGACAGACAGGTAACATAGAGACCAGTCCACACCCATCTCCAGAGCCTCCTCCAGGTCCCTACAGGTGAGAGAGAGACAGGTGAGAGACAGACAGGTGACATAGAGACCAGTCCACACCCATCTCCAGAGCCTCCTCCAGGTCCCTAATGAGAGACAGACAGGTGAGAGACAGGTAACGTAGACCAATAAACCCCCATCTCCATGGCCTCCTTCTGGTCCCAGACAGGATTTGACACAGGAGAATTCAGGTATAAAAAGGTAAACTCAGGTGAGTTGTTCTTACTTGGCCCCCATGGGGATGACCCCCTTGGACCCCACCCCCACAGGAATGTGATCGAACAGAGCCTGAGCGAGCTGCTCCTTCACCGGCTGAACGTCGCTCTCATCCAGGTTCGTCCTGAGCAGCCGCACGCCGCAGTTAATGTCAAACCCCACACCGCCTGCAGGGGGCGACAGAGAGACGCTTTAATATATTAATAACATGTTAGCATTATTTTCTCGTAAATCAGTATGTTTTTCATAATTTTAATCGAAAAGAAAACACACATTTTAATTACATTATTCTCATACATTTGTGACTTAAGTCTCTGAGAATTATTGATATTTTTAAGTCTGTTTTTCTTAGTACGTTTGTTTTTGTTTATTTCGGAGGATATCAACGTTTTTTTCTCGTGAATTTCTGAAGGTTATCTTGGATTTTCTAAGGTTTTTTTTCATCTTTGTACGAGTATAAAATAACATAACATCGTATAAGTAAAGTTATTAAAGCGTGTTCACCTGGAGAAACCACGGAGTTGGGGTCGTTCATATCGAAGGCCGCCATGTTTCCGATCGCAAACCCGTATCCAGAGTGAACGTCCGGGAGACCGATGGACCTCTGAGGGCGAAATAAACAACGTACAATTCAGGATGAAGCTTTGACGGTCCAATAAATCTAATATCTTTAATATGTATATATGACCCAAATATGTATATGCATTACATTAATGTACACAATATCTGTTTGTTTTTTTATTATTACTGCACATATTTTATTTAATTCTATTGCATTGTAAATACTGCTATATTTTACTATATTTTTTTGTATTTTTAATGTTATTATAGTGTTCTTATAATAGTTCTGTATGCACCACGACACCAAGTCAAATTCCTCGTACATGCTAACCTACCTGGAGATAAACCCGATTCTGATATGTTCATTTAATTCATTTCATATTTTAAAAGTTACTTAAAGGTAGGGCAAGTAATTTTGGAGAAACCGGCTCGAGTGGCTAGAATTTGAAAATACACAACCGGAGAAAATCTGCCACTTCCTCACAGAGCCCCTCCTCCAACACACACGAACGCGCACATGACCAATGAGGGCACGAGATAAGTTTGTGCACAGATGGAAGGCTGACAGGCAGGTAGGCCATCCAGTCATCTGACCCGGGCCGAGGCAGATGATTGGTCGTGCTTTTTACAGCGCCACGGCTTCCACAGATGACATGTTTGTATGTATTTATTGTCAAAGCATTTCATATATTCATTGCTATCGGGATGTTAAGAGCATTCCATGGAATATAACAAGTGTTTCTGAAGTGAATTACCTACCCCACCTTTAAGTGTATATAATTGTAATAATCTCTAATCTGTGCCGTTTTTCATTCTCACCCTGTTGCCGTTTAAACGACTGAATTTCCCCTCAGGGATGAATAAAGGTCCATCTTATCTTATCTTATCTTAAATCCTCCAATTAATCTCGTTAAGACGATACTCACGTGTACGATGCCGGGCAGCGCCGCCACGTTCCCGATCTGCTTCATGGCGGGGAGAAACCCTCCGAAACCTGAAGAGCAGAAGCAATGAATAAATAAATGTTAAAGTTCATTTGTGCTGTGATGGAATAGCTTAATGTGTGAGGTGCTCAGCAGCTGACCTCCTCCTTTACAGGCGTTACGAAGCTCCTCGAACATCAGCTTCTCCAGAGGCTCGTTCACGTAGAAGTTCCCCTCGACCTGTCAAAACAATTCAATCAAATACAACGGTAACATGCTATTTTCATGGTTAATATATACGTGGAAGCTGAAGAAGATTGGCTGCAGATGGTGTTTTAAATATGCACTGTTGGTTTAATGGATATTAATTATTATAAAAGCTGCATTTTTTTAGGAAAAAGTGGCAAAACTAATACGTTTTCAGCCAAATAAAGATGGAAATGTGCTGCTTTTCTTTGTTATATGTTATATTTAAGTGAATATATATACCAAAGACTGACAAAACCTTACATTTATTGTGCTATAATCTATTGTTATAAATATACATTTTGATGGTCTTGGAAATATTAGGCCATGCTATTTTATTAGTGACACTTACAATTAACTCAAATGGTTAATTAGAACCCGTTTAACTATTATGTAGGGTGCATATGAAGCCAATAAATAGATTATATTATTTAATATTTTCACATGTTTACTTATTTATTAGGACACACCCTTTAATAGCTACGTTATTAGTCATATAATATTTGCTTTATAACTGAGCTTCGTCAGCAGGTTTTAACTTTCATTTGCAGCTGATTTCAGGGGGTACTTTCACTGATTATTGTGCCTGCATTATCACAAGTATTATGGTATGTTTATAGGGGTTTATCTGCAGGTTAAAGTCTACAGAACATGTGCTAACTGCCTGTATAAATAACTGAGAGCTACCATGCTAACAGCTAAAAGTGTGTCTTACTTGCATGTTGGGAACGAAACCCTTTTTAATCCTCCAGGTGTTCTTCCCGATCTTGTCCAGGAACTGCAGCTCATCATTATAACTGCGACTCATTGTTGTGGGGAGAATATATTAGATGTTTAAAGAGTTTAAATCTATTTTTATGCTGCGTTTCACCGGTTTGTTTAACGCCAAGTGTCAGTAGTCACTGAGGTACGGCAGCTCGGAAGCTATTTAAAGAAAACGCGTTTGTTTTTTTGGCATGACGCATGACAGTTCTACTTAAAAAGAGCAGATGAATAGTGGAATTTTTTATTAAATTGAACACTCAATAGTATATGATATTATTTTATAAGTATTGAAGTCGGGAGGCAGTGCGTTGTAGCTAAAAACGTATCTACTCGCTTGCCGTAGTTGTAGTCAAATAAATTGTAGTATAATTCGAGCCTTCAAGTACAAGCGGATGTTCGACTACTAGCCTTCAAAACAAAAGCTTGCTATCAGTTTTGTAGCTTTCTTTTCTTCAATTGAACACATTTGAAGACGTATATGTTATAATTATTTAATAAAGAGAGTTTTCTACCATTTATTGAAAAATATGAGATCAATTAAGCGTTTTTATTACCTTTGTTTTTGACGCAAGGGTTTTATCTTGAAATTCCCTTGGTTATGTGGCATGACGCATTACATTATTTAACTCTTTATGTAAAAGAAAAGCTTTTATAATGTTTAAGATATTGTTGAAACTGTCTAATTTAGTGGATTTTAAAGAAGTGATGTTAAAAACAGTTATTATGTTTTCTAGAACCGGCGTGTTGTATAAAGAGCGATTCTGCCCGCTTGCCGTAGTTGTAGTCAAACAAGTTGTAGTAGAGAGAAGCTTGCCTTCAAGTACAAGCTTCAAAACAAAAGCTCGCAATAACTTTTTGTTCTTTCTTTTCCATAAATTAACACATTTAAAGACATAAATGTTACAATAATATATTAAAGAAAACATTCATAAAACATATGTGATACATTTAGGGGTCTTACTACTTTTATTTTGGGATACAATTCTAACATTGCTTTTACTTTGAAATTCACAACCGGAACCTCTGTGTGTTAAACTGTATTTGTTTGAAGCTGTTTGTTTACAAGTGCGATTTATCGGAGAAATGTCCTAAAACAAGCTGGATTGAATCACTTTAATTCATCATGTAAGTATTTTACAGCTTTGGCAGCTTTTATAAACATAATGTCGGTTACATAAGTTAACTAACTAGCCTGGCATTCAGTTAGTTAGCTCGTAAAGCTTCACTGTTACGCAGCAACTTTAAAAACGTTAGCATTTTAGGAGAAACGAAAACGAAACTTTGCATTTTTTCTTCTTAAATAACAAGTTATGGAAAACGAAATATGTAATTCTCCTTAAATAGCAAGCCATACTTTATAACAAACGTCTGCTTTAATCCATGAATTGATGCCTGTTTTATTTCTATTGTATTTTGCATTAATGTGTTGTGGTTTTTCAAACGTTATGTTGCTAACGTTCATTAACGGATTATTATTACATGTTATTAAATTATTTAAATCTGTTTTTTGCGCCTAATTATTACATTTAGTCTGATTTAAAATAATAAACTGGACTTAAAACAGCATTAATGACTCATCAGAAAATGTAAAAGTGGATATTTAATTAGTTCTTATTAAATAACAAACTAGATATTATAACAAACTTCTGATATATTGATTGAATTTGTGCCCATTTTATTTGTATTTATTTTGTATTAATGTGTTGATGTTATTTGTCCTGTGTGGTTTTCCAAAGTGTAGCTTCCTATTGTTCATTATCTGAATATTAAAGGGGACCTATTCTGCTTAATGCACTTGTTCATGTCTTTTCTACATCAACATGTGTCCCCTCTGTGTAAAGAGACCCTCTCTTTACACAGAGATATCTCTCAGAGGGGCGTGGGGAGCGGCTCCTTGTTTTCATCTAAAGTAACAGACAGAGAATCAGCACTTTGGAAACAGGGCTGAAACAGAGGGGATTATGGGTAATGCTGCAATGGTTAGTGCTAGATCGTATACCTCCTGGGTTTTAGGCGGAAGTGACGTAACCTGCCACCCAGGACAAGAGACGAGCATGAATACATAATTTTCCCACAGAAATATCATAAATATAATATTTTGAGAATTCATAACTTTGGAGGACAGCAGGCTATTACCAATATTTAAAAAAAGGACATCTCACAAGAAGAAAAGCACAGATGGGATTTAACAGTGACACACACAGTACGAGGTTTATTTAAAAAAAGGGGGGAGATTTTTTTAGGAGTGTGCTCCCTCTCACTCCTGTTCACTGTCCTCCGGATGCCTGCAGGACTCCAGAGTCGCGAAGAGCCCATGCTAAATTAAATTAAATGTGTCTACTTTTACAACCAGATGTGCTGTCAGTCAAAAGTTGCTGACTTCTCATCCACGATTACGTCACTTATTACGTCGCCTAAAACCCAGGAGGTATACGATCTAGCACTAACCATGCTGCAATGATCTGATTGGTGTTTCAGCCAATCAGAGACAGGCTCTGGATATATCTGAGAAACAGGATAATGGGTGACCTTTTAAATCTGGATTTTTAAAAATACAGATTTAAAACTTTAAAAACAGCATTAATGGGTTAGAACATTAAAAAAATAGAGATTTCTGATAGTTTTAATTATAAAAAGAGAAAGTTACTGACTTGTTTTAGCTCATATTACAAAGATAGCTTTCTTTATATAAATAGACCATCATAACATACATTTATACTAGATCATTTGTATAGAAGTTTTTCATTTGAAAACACATTCAAATTGGCCTCTTTTTCACCAAACTCCATTAACCTCTTATTTTCAGCAATCAGACCAAAAAACACACCAATATTTGTTCCTGCTCGTTTGTAATAGACGTTGACTGTATATGTAAAATGAATTAGGTATGTCATATTTCCAAAAGTGTGTGTAAACTCCAAAAACTAAATCTTCCAAATAAACAAAAAAACATATATCTAGAAGTATGCATCTTCCCAACAAACTGGTCGGTGAAATTAAGTCGTAATGCGTTGTATCTTCATCCTAGTTTTGTAATAACTGTCTCCTCTTCCTGTTTCTTTGTCTCCAGAATGAAGCTGAGAGTTCGGATCCTGCGTCAGACGAGTCGCGTCGAATTATCCGGAGAAGATCCGAGTCTGAAGGACCTCTCGGATCTGATCAGAGAGACGCTGCTTTCTGCACATGGACTCAGGTCAGAGCATGGATGTTTAACAAGAACTGGATACAGCGTGGGAGGCGGGGTCTCGTTCTTTCCTATGAGAGCTGCTCATTGGCGCATGAAGGCAAAATGGCCCAACTTTTGAGAGAGCGAAACGTCACGAAAGTATTCATATAATCATATAATCCGTTCTTATTGTGCATCCATTATCCAACGATTTACAGACGTCTCTTTCCCAATGTGAGTCAATGGGTGTTTCCGGGCCCAGCGACTGATACGGAAGTGTAGTACCGCCGTTTGGCCACAACGAATATTTTCCTCAGAGTCCGGCGCACTTCCTGGTGGCTTGGTGTGTGCGCTCACAGAGCATGCGCCCCTTAAGCCCCGCCCCCCGAGCTCCCGCTCTCGGCTCAGTAGAATGAATGGAGACAGAAAATAAATCTGGATTCGGCTTTTAGTGCATTTTATAACTTTAAGGACTGAATGATTCTAATAAGGGCTATAACATAGTTCACACTGGGAAGTTTATTTAGTTTAAAAATAATTATCCGCTGATTTACAGACGTCTCTTTCCCAATGTTAGTCAATGGGGAGAAGTCTTTCTGTGCCGGGTGACGTCACGGACTGATACGGAAGTTGTAGTACCGCCGTTTGGACACTAGGAATGTTGGGCTCAGAGTCCGGGGGGCTTGGGTCAGACTCCAGAGAAAGGGCTATTTTATACCTGTATTACTTTCTCTATATACTGTTCATATTTGTAAAACAAACAAAAAGATTCGGAGACAGTTTCTTCCCGCGGGCAGTGAGACTGTTAAACAATTGAACTGCTGAAACAGCTTCAAAACATTCATCTGCTACTCAGTAGTATGTATCTAATATCTAATATATATCATTCCAATAACTTGTATATAGACTCGTACTGCACTATTCCACATCATCACTTATTTTATAACTATTTTTCTTTGTATTGCTCTTGCTATCTGTATTATTATTATGTTACATTGTTGGAGAAGCCTGTGACATAAGATTTTCAACGACATAATTACTCTGTAGCTATGTCAGTTTGACAATAAAGAACCTTGAACCTTGAACCTTGAACCTTGAAAACAGTGCGTATGCAAAGAGATACGATTAATAAATAAATAAACAATTTAAAAGAATTCCCTATTTATTAAATTATTTAGACTTTTCCTGTCTCCATGTTATTTATTTTATTATTAAAGAAATATATATTATTGTTAGTTAAAAATCCAGAAATCTGAGGAATTTCTCATGAAACAATTTCAGAAAATTCCGTTTCTTTCTGACATTTTTTCCTGAGAAATTCTTCAGATTTCTGGATTTTTCTCTCAAAAATATTGCGTCACGGTTTCTGTATCCCTGCAGCTGTGCTCTAAAGCCTCTCTTTCTGGTCTCAGGTCGGACAGCGCCTTCAGTTTGTCTCTGAACGGCTCCGAGCTGCTCTCTGTGGCCGGGCAGACTTTGTCTTCCTGTGACATCGTGTCTGGAGATCTGATCTGCGTCCTGCTGCCAAACAACAACGACACAAACGCAAAACCTTCCCAAAACAAATCCTCCTGCAGCTCCAACATGTCTATCTACCAGAGCTGCTCCTCTTCCTCCTCATCATCATCATCTTCTTCCTCATCTTTCACCTCCTGCAGCTCCTCCTCCTCGTTTAAATCCTGCAGCTCCTCCTCAGACAGCCAGCAGTCGGCGGCCATGCCCTCCGTCCAGGTGAGAGTTACCTGTCATCTGATGAAAACTTTATTGATCACATTTTTTGAAATGTCCCAAAGACACACGCAGCAGTTTCCTCGTGTTACGGAGCGTCCACACAGCAGCGTTAAAAAAAATCTTGGAGGTGGGCGTATCTGAAGCTTGGGGATTTTTTGCGACCAACAACCAATCGCATGAATCTCCCGCCCCCGACATACGAAGCAAAAAATCCCGAAGTAAACTGGATATAAACTCCCCAAACAGGCGAAGACCTACCACTGTCTCTGCCACCTCCCTCCATGCCTGGCTCCTCCGGTTTGTATCCCGGTAGGTAAATAGGGACTGGTCATAAAGCACCGGGTGATTCCCTACCGCTCACTTCTGTGGTATGTCTCTCCCAGCATACACGCCGTTTGATTGGCTGACGCTTGAACTGTCAGATTTGCGTACACGGGATTTGATTGGCTGACGCTTCCACCTCAGCTTCAAAAGTTGAACATTGCTCAACTTTTGAATCCTGAGATGCCTGGAAATCTCCGCTCTGCTTGCCCACAATGCAGTTCGGCGAAAAGTGAGGCAAAGTGACGTCACCCCATTCAAAGTGAATGGGCAGAAGCGTTAGAAGAACGCTGCTGTGTGGACGGGCCGTTATCGGCAGCTTGCTCCGACTTTTTTTTAACAACCCAGATAACAGAAAATAACCCGATTTCTCTCCGATTTGTTTTGTTTTTTGCGACAAAGAAACATGTTTACTTTCTGAGATTAACGTACAGTTAACGTTAATCTTTCAGCCCTACATAAAAAAATGAATGATCTCTTCTTCAAGAATTGCTTTTTAGATGTCCCTGAATGTGAATGGTTGTGTGCATTAATGTTTCTCAGCTCAAGGTACATTTGTTCTCTCTCTCAGCCCAGTGTTGTTCCTGCAGCAGCGGACCCCCCCATGGAGGTGTTTCCCCCCCGCCCCTGCACCTGGGACCCCCTGCTGTGCAGCGAGGCGTCGGGGGGGCAGGTTCCTCTCTCTCTGGAGCTCCTCCTCGTCTCCGCCCCCCCCCTCCTGCCCAGCTGACGCCGTCATGGTGGCCGCTCACCTGCTGATGCTGGAGACGGGATTCCTGCCACAGGTGAGAGCCCGCAGACTCAACCACGCTAATAATCTGTAATCGGTTACAGGATGGGATTTAGAGGTGTGTGTGTGTGTGTGTGTGTGTGTGTGTGTGTGTGTGTGTGTGTGTGTGTGTGTGTGTGTGTGTGGTGTGTGTGTGTGTGTGTGTGTGGTGTGTGTGTGTGTGTGTGTGTGTGTGTGTGTGTGTGTGTGTGTGTGTGTGTGTGTGTGTGTGTGTGTGTGTGTGTGTGTGTGTGTGTGTGTGTGTGTGTGTGTGTGTGTGTGTGTGTGTGTGTGTGTGTGTGTGTGTAGGACTGTGCTACAGGTCAGATGCCTGCAGGATGGAGGTCTCCTTCTGTCTATAGGCTGCAGTATTCTCACCCTCTGTGTGAAAACAGCCGAGTCATGGTGCTGGCAGTAACCATGGGCCCTGAACTCGTCATCAACGGTCAGTTTATTTTTATTTTACGAACATTAGGACATCATAACATTTCATTATTGATTTTATTTTGGTGTGTCTCCCTGCAGCCACTCTGAAGGTGGGGGAGAAAGTGGACACGGTCCCTAAACTGTGTGTGAAGCCGGACGTGTTCCTCACCCCCCAGTGGAGAGGTGTTGTTATTACATCTACTCATGCAGAGCTGTGTGAAAATGATCATAATAATAATATATGAAATGTGTGTTTCAGGAGAAAGTGCAGCCGCTGCGTTCAAAGACCTGAGCAAACTGTCTCGTCTCTTCAAAGATCAGATTTCTTATCCTCTGATCGCTGCAGCTCGAGCAGGTACAGGACGTATACAAATATATATATATAACATTATTTATTTTTTAATTAGAGTGTGGTGTTTATTAATCAATATATAATCTTTATATTTGTCTGTTATCAGCGATGTCTCTCCCGGTGGTGTTCGGCCTCGCCGCTCTCCCCCCCGAGCTGCTGCTCAGAGTCCTCCGACTGCTCAACGTCCAATCAGTGCTCAGCGTTTCCTCCACCTGCAAACACCTGAACACCTGCAGCCAGGACGCGTCGCTGTGGAGGCACCTGGTGCACAGAGACCACACAGGTGAGACACTTTAATATCTCACCTGGTGCACAGAGACCACACAGGTGAGACACTTTAATATCTCACCTGGTGCACAGAGACCCCACAGGTGAGACACTTTAATATCTCACCTGGTGCACAGAGACCACACAGGTGAGACACTTTAATATCTCACCTGGTGCACAGAGACCCCACAGGTGAGACACTTTAATATCTCACCTGGTGCACAGAGACCCCACAGGTGAGACACTTTAATATCTCACCTGGTGCACAGAGACCCCACAGGTGAGACACTTTAATATCTCACCTGGTGCACAGAGACCCCACAGGTGAGACACTTTAATATCTCACCTGGTGCACAGAGACCACACAGGTGAGACACTTTAATATCTCACCTGGTGCACAGAGACCACACAGGTGAGACACTTTAATATCTCACCTGGTGCACAGAGACCCCACAGGTGAGACACTTTAATATCTCACCTGGTGCACAGAGACCTCACAGGTGAGACACTTTAATATCTCACCTGGTGCACAGAGACCACACAGGTGAGACACTTTAATATCTCACCTGTATGGTTTCTTTGTGACATATATTAATGTTTATTGAAATGTGTTTCCAGTTCGAGGTGCCAGCAGAGACACGGACTGGAAAGAGGTGAGTCAAATATAATTCATTTTATATAAATATGTGTATTTATATGTTGATCTAATTTATAACATATTTTATAGCAATTTCACAATAAAAAAATCCAACCGTTTTTCTCTGTTTTCCCAGTTCTACAGAAAACACTACAAACATCGACGTGAACGTCTTTGGCGTCACCATCACGCTCCCCCCTTTCCCCCCTTCCCCCCCCTCGCCCGCCCCCCCCCTCCCCCACCCCCACCCGATGCACCCTCCCCTCCCCCCAGGCATCATCGGGGGGGAATACGACCAGCGGCCCCTACTCCTGCTGCCCCCCCCGCCCCCGATACGACCCGATCCACGGCCCCCCCCCCCCCTCCAGACCTGCATCCCGGGAGACCCAGAGCCGCCTGGTGGAGGCCGGCTGACGTGAGGAGGGGCTTCATCTGAAGAGGGAATAAAGATGACAACAAATAAATCATTATGACCCTTATAATTAACATTAGCGTCAATGTTGAAGGTAATAATCCAGATAAAGCAGTTTTGTAACACATCTGAGCATCAAGAGTCTTTATTTACAACTCATTATCACCCTTATAAACTGTGGCGCGCTTGCACTGTAGGTGAGCCGCGTTTGGGGGTGCGGGTGCTAGTGGAGCCTCGCAGATGGGGGTGCTGCAGCCCACTCAGCACCCCCCCTTCCCGCGTCCATGAGTAGGGTTCATCTGACGCCCTTCTTCTTAGAAATAAAACGGCACACATCTGAACATGAAGAGTCTTTATTTACAACTCATTATGACCCTTATAATTAACATTAGCGTACATTTTAAAGGTAATAAATCAGATAAATCAGAACGGAGGGTTTTGTAACTTCTTTTAATAAAATAATAATTTCTATTTTGCCGTCTTTTATTATGTTTTTATTGGACCTCATTCTGCTCTGATTGGTTAGCTCTGTTGTGATTGGTCAACCTGCTCAGAGATGTCCCGCCCCTTTAGCTTATCACGTACAATGTGTTGAAGCACTAGCCAATAGGAGCGCAGGTGTTGCATAGTGATGTCACCGTGTTCCGAAAGTAAACAAAGGAGTCCAATGTTATTTACTTATATTAATATATATGTTTGTTTTTTATTATTTTATACAACATTTTGACTGTTTTATTTTATATATTTGACCTAAACTTAAATCAGATGATTAAATAAAATAAAATAAGGTCTCTTTAAATCCATATTATTTCCACGGTCGGGAGATCATGAGACAATGACGTCATCTTTTGTCTTAAAACAAAGGGTGCGTGTGTTTAACAGACGAAGAGGTTCCCTTTCAGGCGGGCGGAGTTTAGAGTGGTGTAACACCGGTGTGATGAAGAATGCTGTCACCCGCTAAATCATGTGACCTGATGGAGAAATACAGACGTTTTTTGTCACCGTTTAATTTGTAATTATAAGTATTTAGAGACGGTTAAAACACAATGAATATAGCCGTTGACGTTAACCTGACGTCATTACGCCAGTCACATAATCAGCACAGTTGTTCCAACGGACGTAAAATGACCGAGATTAAAGCAGCAGACAGGTAATAAAACACCTTAAATAACTGTTTAATTTCTCCAACGAGGCACTGAAACTCGTCTTATAGATTCCGTTATTTAATTCGGTATTTTAAAGTAGTAAAAGTTGGTTTAAAAGCCTAAATTTGACCTAATGTAAGCTTTAGCTGTAGTTAGTTTTTGAGTCAGACAAGCCAGCCGGGCGGGAACTATCCGGCTTCCCCCTACCGGCTAACAGCAATGATAACACGGGTGCGCTTGATTTATGACCCGCTGAGCACCGGAGGACAGCGGACCCGGATTCTACTTCTTATTTTTCTGTATTATACCTCGGTATATCATCAAATAACAAATACATATAATCTAATCCTTTATATTTAACCTTTAAAAACGTTTAAGTATATTTTTTAATGTAGTTAAATCACCCAGACTTGAGTTTACACCTGCATTTATGATATTAAAGCTCCCATTGTGTTGTTTTACATATAATAAGGGAGAGTTTTACTACTTTATCTTCACAGAAACATTGTTAAATAACTTTAATTTAATGTAATCCATTAATTAACTGGCGTTCTTTATTTACATTTAAAATATAATAAAAATAATCCAGGTGACTTCCCTCCCTGTAACACCGCTGTTTCTGTCCCTTTAAAAGCCTCGTGTTGTTACCGGAAGTGTGAGGGGTGTTTCCATCAGAAGCTCCACAGTCTCTCTCCTCTCCTTCAAAAAAGCCCGACTTTCAGCTCCTGTCAGCGGCTACACAGCTCCCCTCTCCCCGGGAAACACCTGCGGAGGAACCGGGGGATGGTCCCAGCCGCCCGGAGATGGCGTCCTTCCCCGGGTTGAATTCCGAGGATCAGGCGGAGGGAGACGGGTCTCTGCTGGAGATGCTGAAGGCCATCGCGGAGGAAAGGGTCCGGATCAGCGGCCGGCAGGAGATCAGCGGCCTGGGTGAGGAATATACCCGGGAGAGAGGGTCTGAAAGGGGGGCGTTAACACCGGGGAAAGAGGCTCTGTTAAGGTTTATATACCGGGGAGAGAGGGGTGTGTGTTAAGGTTTATATACCGGGGAGAGGGGTGCTTTAGAGAGGGGGTCTGTTAAGGTTTATATACCGGGGAGAGGGGTGTGTGTTAAGGTTTATATACCGGGGAGAGGGGGGCTTTAGAGAGGGGGTCTGTTAAGGTTTATATACCGGGGAGAGGGTCTGAAACACCGGGGAGAGGGGTGTGTGTTAAGGTTTACATACCGGGGAGAGGGGGTCTAATACACCAGGGAGAGGGGGTCTAATACACCAGGGAGAGGGGGTCTTTAACACCGGGGAGAGCGGATTGTGGTGAGGTTTATATACCGGGAAGAGAGGGGCTTAGAGGGGGTCTTTAACACCGCCGGGAGAGGGTCCTTAGAGAGGGGGGACAGGCTGCAGGAGAGGCAACACTGGAGATACGAAGAAGATGGACCTTTATTGATCCCCCGAGAGGGAAATTCAGTTTTCCACTCTGTTTTTTGATATTCATGCATTATTATTATACAGGTACATCGAATACACACAGTTATACTCGTGCACACATGCACTTTTTGTTGTACAAATACACACGTTTATATTCACACATGCATGAGAGGATCCAGAGCGGAGAGGCAGCCAGTGAGCAGAGCAGATATTAAGGAGACCATGTGTCTGAGGTTACAGCTGATATACGTTGTTGGGTAGACGCAAAGAGACCAAAAACAGACACTTAACCAAAAAAGAGACTTCAAACCAACACGGAAATGAATAGAGACAATGTCTCGTCCAAAAACAGATGCAAAAATACCTAAGAAATACTCAAAATGTCCAAAAAGAAACGACACCACCTTTCAGACATGCTACACGTCTACAGTGACACCACCTTTCAGACATGCTACACGTCTACAGTGACACCACCTTTCAGACATGCTACACGTCTACAGTGACACCACCTTTCAGACATGCTACACGTCTACAGTGACACCACCTTTCAGACATGCTACACGTCTACAGTGACACCACCTTTCAGACATGCTACACGTCTACAGTGACACCACCTTTCAGACATGCTACACGTCTACAGTGACACCACCTTTCAGACATGCTACACGTCTACAGTGACATGGAAACAGCTCCTAATATAATGGATATTCATTCGTCGTCATGACGACCCTGAAGACAGGAAGGTACATCTTTCCGTACGGAGGTTTTTGTATTCTCATGTTTTTATTACAGATCTGTATTCTCCTACACACACACACACACACACACACACACACACACACACACACACACACACACACACACACACACAGGCACACACACACAGGCACACACACACACACACACACAGGCACACACACACACACACAGGCACACACACGCACACACACACACGCACACACACAGGCAACACACACACACACACACACACACACACACACACACACACAGGTACAGACAGACACAGGCAACACACACACACACATACACACATACACACACACACACACACAGGCACATGCACACACACAGGCACACACACACACACACGCACAGACACACACACAGGCACACACACACACACAGACACACAGACACAGGCACACACACACACACACACACACACAGACACACACACACACTCTCTTCAGTGTCTGCATGGTGACTCACTCTCAGACTTTTTTACACATGTGCTGAATATTTAATATTTGTTGCGGTGTCGTCAGAGAGCAGATTGTTTACTGTTGGTTTATTGAGAGATTCTGTGGTCTGAAATATTGATCAGGTATTAATCGTTCAAATTCATAATAAGCCGTATTGATTTAGTTTTTATTGCTGCTCCACGGAGGATTGGATGTGTCTCTATTTTTAGATTGAGTATCATTTATTCATTACATCTGTTTTATTAACGTCTTTGATTTATTACATATCTATCTTTCGTTTAATTTGTGTATTTATAAAAAATTCACTTTATTTCATACATTTTAAATTTCTTTAAATGCATTTCATATTTATTTATTTGATCTTTTAATTTGTATTTATTTAATTCATTACCTACATATCTATTTATCTTTTAATTAGGCCTTTTTAATTAATTTATATCTGTATGTTATATTCATTTATTATGTTTTTATTTATTACATATTTATTTATTTCAACCATTTATTAACCACATTTATTTTTAATATTAAATTGGACATAATTACACTTTTATTTATTAAAAAATACCCGGTTTTCATTTTATTATTATTATTAGTTTGCATTTTAATATTGAATCCTCAGTGAAACACCTGAACAGGAAGTGCTGTTGGCACCCTTTCAGAATAAAAGCCCCCCCGACACGTTGACCTTCTCCTGTTCCTGCTCTGGTGTTTTCAATTAAATTAAACTAAAGCGGATCAAAGCTAACCTCGTTAAGCCTCACAGACACATTCAATTAGATTACCCATAATGCAATTTGTTATCTCGGTGCAGAAACACTTTACTGAATACTTTAAAGATAAATACATTAAAATATATATAAATAATAATACAATAAATAAATGATTACATCTTTAAATAAATGATACTTTGAAAAGGCTCTAAAATTAGTTAAAAAGCTAGATTAATAAAAACTGATAGAATTATACAATATAATAAATTAAGGATTACATAATTTAATAATTAGAAAATCATTAGTTCAATTCATTTTAATATTCGATTATGCATTTTTAGGTTGTTTTGGTATTTAATATAAACTTAAACTGTTATTGTGTTTCCGTGCAGGTCATTTATCATTTTGTATTATATATTTTATTATATTTAATTATATATTTATTCATTATATATTTTATTATATTTAATTATATATGTATGATATTTGATGAAATGTCCCCGCAGGCTGTTTTAAGGACGACCGCATCGTGTTCTGGACCTGGATGTTCTCCACGTATTTCATGGAGAAGTTCGCTCCTCTGAAGGACGACATGCTGTTCTACGTCCGCAGGAAGCTGGGCGCCGACCTGAGCGACGGAAAGAAGGTCAGCTGATCGATCAATAACATGTGATCAATAACGAGCTGCTGGTAGAGATTTAATTGGTTAGTCAATTAGTGGAAGTGTGTGTGTGTGTGTGTGTGTGTGTGTGTGTGTGTGTGTGTGTGTGTGTGTGTGTGTGTGTGTGTGTGTGTGTGTGTGTGTGTGTGTGTGTGTGTGGTGTGTGTGTGTGTGTGTGTGTGTGTGTGTGTGTGTGTGTGTGTGTGTGTGTGTGTGTGTGTGTGTGTGTGTGTGTGTGTGTGTGTGTGTGTGTGTGTGTGTGTGTGTGTGTGTGTGTGTGTGTGTGTGTGTGTGTGTGTGTGTGTGTGTGTGTGTGTGTGTGTGTGTGTGTGTGTGTGTGTGTGTGTGTGTGTGTGTGTGTGTGTGTGTGTGTGTGTGTGTTTCAGGTGGAGGTGGAGGTGTACAGGAGAGACTCGAAGAAGCTTCCGGGCCTCGGAGACCCCGACATCGACTGGGAGGAGAGCGTGTACCTGAACCTCATCCTGCAGAAGGTCAGAACGTTTCACACACACTTTGAATCTTTAGAAATATATGTTTTCATTTTACGGTAACGGCATTTATTTACGTTTTTCCTTTATATTTTCCCCCAGAGATCCATACAATACAGAATAACTCATTTGAATAATAAGTACAATTTAAACATGTCTATAAACGTATAAAAAGACGGAAGTCATGTCAATAAAATGGTAAATATTGATGGGATGTTTTCATGGCGTCAACCAGTGGCTCCGGCAGACCAGGTCTGAGAGAGCGTGAATCGAGCCGTCCCTTATAGATACTATCTCTTTACGTCAGTGAGCCGGATCATTTGGCTCGGCTCCCAAACGGCTCTTCACGTTACCACAGTTTACCACGGAGCCTCAGTGAGCCGCTGCGAGGCTCCGGCGCGCGCTCCACCCCTCGCTCATCGCGTCCAAATCGCGCACGTTCCGTGTTGTCCTGTAGCAGGCACCGGCGATGTCGGGGAAACGATCAGCAATACTCTGAATAGAATCCCACCAGACTCCTTCGCCCCTCCAACAGAGGGATGTCCTTTTTCCTTTTCGTCATTTCAAGCGATAAAAACTCTCCATCTTCTTGTTTGTTTGTTTGTAGCCTTTATTTATCCAGGTTAAAAAATCCCATTGAGATCAACGATCTCTTTTTCAAGGGAGACCTGCGGTACATTAGTTACACATAAAAACAACAGAAAACAAAAGGACATCACAACATAATTACAGGGGTATAAATTAGCATCTATTTACATTTACAGGTATCCAATAACATTTCATCCAGCCGTGCTTTAAAACGATGCAAGGGAATCAAAATGCTGAGTTTCAATATTTTTTGCATAGTGTTCCAAGCTAGAGGAGCAGCGCACAGAAAATTCTCTCGAATTATACATTTTTTTGGACGCCATCGGCTCGAGTTCAGGGCGTCCCGAGCTGGGGCGTCAAATGACGGCAAGACGCCCCCCTGGCGGAAACGCTGGCGTCAACGTTCCTTCATCGTCTCAGGAAGTTACAAACTATAATCATTATTGGATTTCTCATGTGACTCAGTCATCTTGGGTTCTTTTTCTACAGAATAAAGCTTTTCCAAAATACTTTAAAATATAACTTTTTTTAAGTTACAAAAATCATTTAACTTCAGTTTTTAATATAAATGTCAGACACTTTGACGATAACACACGAGACAAAGGAGCAACAAGAGAGAAAAGTGACTGTATTTTAGAAGAAAATGTTGTATAGTGATTCGGGCTGTCAAGTTAACGCGTTAATAACGCGTTAACGCAAAAAAAAATTAACGCCACTAATTATTTTAACGCGATTAACGCATGTGTATTTTTTGTCCTCGGCCGCCGTAGTTTCAGAGCGCATCGAGTTTAAAATACCATCTACAAGCTGATGCTGACAGCCCCGCTCCTGCCGCCCGCTTGTGGCAGACCACACTTCCACGCTCACCGGCAGGCCCGGACTGGCCATCGGGAGGACCGGGAGGGTGTGTGTATGTGTGGCGCGAGCGAAGCACACCTTACGTGTTGTTGTTAGCATCTGGTTCTAGCTAGCTGAGCTAACGGATATAAGGAGCTGTTTCAATGAAAACAGAGGAGCGACATTTCGCCGACAACTGCGCCGAGCACTTGACTTTATGCAGGTAGCCAGACAGCACACTCAGCACGGATAGTGCGCGCAACACAGCTCATACACACAGGCATATATGCCTTGAGCTGCACATAGCTCCAACACACACACACACACACACACACACACACACACACACACACACACACACACACACACACACACACACACACACACACACACACACACACACACACACACACACACACACACACAGTATTATTGTATGAGAGAGGTTCCAGGTTGAATTGAGGCGAATATTTGTAATGTTCAGGTTGTTGTGTTTAATATTCATGAGAATATTTGTCATTGTTCAAATGATAATAAACAAACATATAAAGCATATGTGTCCACTCATATGTTGATAAGAGTATTAAAAACTTGAAAAATATCCCTCTAAGGTACATTTAGAACAGATAAAAAATGTGCGATTAATTTGCGATTAATCGCGATTAAATATTTTAATCGACTGACAGCCCTAATAGTGATATTTGTACACTGATTTTATGATAATGTATACAGTTGGATTACGTGGTGACGTGTGCGGTCTGCACGCGCTCAGACGCCGGAGACATCCACATCCACAAGAAGAAATGTCAGGTATGAACTCTACAATAATGACCTTTATTGTACTTTATTCATTAGTTAATACAAAATGATGATCTGTGTGTTTCTCCACAGGAGGTGTTTGCGTCTCCCAGTAAACACGCCATGGACAGCAAAGGAGAGGAGTCCAAGATGAGCTACCCCAACATCTTCTTCATGATCGACAACTTTGAGGAGGTGACCACTAATTATATGAAATGCTGTTCAGGTGTTTGTTAGTATTTTAATATATTTCCCAGAGACCAGTCTGAAAAATAAATACAATTCTGAGAAAAAAGTGAAAATCTCGGAAAAATTCAAATCATGAGAAAAAGTGAAGTTTTGAAAATAAATTTAAGTTTCTAAAGAAATTCAAATTTTGAACAAATGTCTACATTTGAAGAAATAATCCAATTCTATGGAAAAATGAAATTTAGAAAATCTGAAAAAATTATTGGAGGAAAATAAATGACAATTTGAAAAAAAAGAATATTTTGAACATAAAAATTAAAATTGTGAAAAAATAAATAACATTTTGGGAAAAAATGAACATTTTGAGGAAAAAATAAAAATGTTGAGGGGTGTGTGTGTGTGTGTGTGTGTGTGTGTGTGTGTGTGTGTTGTGTGTTGTGTGTGTGTGTGTGTGTGTGTGTGTGTGTGTGTGTGTGTGTGTGTGTGTGTGTGTGTGTGTGGTGTGTGTGTGTGTGTGTGTGTGTGTGGTGTGTGTGTGGTGTGTGTGTGTGTGTGTGTGTGTGTGTGTGTGTGTGTGTGTGTGTGTGTGTGTGTGTGTGTGTGTGTGTGTGCAGGTGTTCAGCGACATGACGGTGGGCGAGGGGGAGATGGTGTGTGTGGAGCTGGTTGCGAGCGATAAGAGCAACACCTTCCAGGGAGTCATCTTCCAGGGGTCCATCCGATACGAGGCGCTGAAGAAGGTCTACGACAACCGGGTAAGCTAACAGGCTAACGTGCTAACAGGCTAACGTGCTAACAGTTTTGCTTTCATTTTGAACACAAAGATATGGAGGGAAAAATTATTCCAATAATAAAACAGAATCAAATCAGTTTTATATTTATACTACCTGTGTGTGTAAATAAACATGTGTGTGTGTCTGCAGGTGAGCTAACGTGCTAACAGGCTAACGTGCTGTTTCCCTGTGTGTGTCTGCAGGTGAGCGTGGCAGCGAAGATGGCTCAGCGCATGTCGTTCGGTTTCTATAAATACAACAACATGGAGTTTGTGAGGATGAAGGGTCCGCAGGGCAAAGGTCACGCAGAGATGGCCGTCAGCCGAGTCCCAACCGGGGACACGTCGCCCTGCGGCACCGAAGAGGACCAGGTGTCCCCGCTGCACGAGAGGGTGAGGGAAACAAACACACCTAATGTACACTTATTAACGCAGGGTGAGGGAAACAAACGCACCTCACTTATTAACGCTGCACGAGAGGGTGAGGGAAACAAACGCACCTAATGTACACTTATTAACGCAGGGTGAGGGAAACAAACGCACCTCACTTATTAACGCTGCACGAGAGGGTGAGGGAAACAAACGCACCTAATGTACACTTATTAACGGAGGGTGAGGGAAACAAACACACCTCATGCAGTGTGTTGGATAAAGGTTAGGGTTACCTGTTATTACTTAATTTTCAGACACTTTTCTGACACTTATTTTTACACATTTTTATTCCCACTATTTCTGGACATTTGAGGCTTTTTGCAGATCATTTTCACACTTTTCTTTAAGGATATTGTGGGCATTTTTCCCAATGTTTTTATGACATTTTTCCACATTTTCCAATTCTTCGGGACCGTTTCCTCTTTGTGTTCCTCTTGGGAAAAAAATGTTTCACACTTTTGACTTTTTTTGTACAAATATGCCAGACATCGTTTACACTTTTTCCAAACAATAAAAAAAAATTATAAATTTGAACACCGAGGAGGACCAGGTGCACGAGAGGGTGAGCGAAACAAACACACTTCTTAACGCTGCATGGTGTGTTGATACAGGTTGGATTTACCTGCTGTTACTTAATATCATTTAATTTTCTGACACTTAATTTTATTCGTTTTTCAGGATATTATTCCACATTTTTAAGAAGATTTTCAGAGTTTTTGGTTTAGGATATTGTGGTCGTTTTTCCCTCTTTTTATGACATCTTCCCAATTTATTCTAATGTTTCCTACAAATATGCTCGACATTGTTTACACTTTTTCTACACAATTAAAACATGTCTACAATTTTGGATGTCTTTTCACACTTTTTTGGAAAATGGACACATTTGTTCTGGAAAATGTTCACTTCTACATATTTTGAGACATTTCTGATCACAAAGTTCTAATTTTCTTGACATCTTTTTGTACAAATTGTGAAGCCAACATCTCCAATTACTGCAGAGCATTGTTAAATAGGTCATCTCCAAAATGCAAAATGTTTTTATCTCAACAATCATTCTGCTTGAAGCCGTATTTGTTGTCGTTTCTATTGAACATAAAAACACATTACATCAGCTGATTTTACCTTAAAAAACCTCCTGTCAGCAGATTTAGGAGATTTGTTTCACTTCCTGTTTGTCTGCGTCCGTCTGGAAACAGAAGAATAAACTCAACGTTTCATTTGAGCTCAGAGCGAAAACTGAAATGAGGTCGAGATGAATAATAAACGCTGAGAGACTTCTTTACAGACTGACTCAGGAAACACTCACACATTATTTACTCAGACGATAGAAGCTGAGCAGCAGCTGAGGACAGGTTTTAGGAGACGGGTAAAGTCAAAGGAACAAGTCAGTATTATCAGTTTGAGTTGGAGGAAGTACTCGAGCCCTCACTGAAGTATAAGTATGTCACTGTTATCAGAAAATGTAGTTTAAGTACGAGAAGTAAAAAAACACACTACTTTTCTTTTGAAGAATTCCTTAGAAAAAAGGCTGATTTCTGCTTTTATTTTGTAGGAGCCATTACAAAGAATGAATTCCTACTTTTATTTTGAAGGAAATGTAGTTTAAGTACAAGAAGTAAAAGAAATGTGAAACTAAATATTATTATATAGACTAAGGGGCGGGACATCTCTGAGCTGGTGACCAATCACAACAGAGCCAGCCAGCTAACCAATCACAACAGAGCCAGCCAGCTAACCAATCACAACAGAGCCAGCCAGCTAACCAATCACAACAGAGCCAGCCAGCTAACCAATCACAACAGAGCCAGCCAGCTAACCAATCACAACAGAGCTGGGCATTTGTTAGAATAATTCTGATAACCTTTGACTGTTGCTAGGCAGAATAGTGAAAGTAAATATACTTATTAACTGTGTATTTTAAGTAGTGTGTGTGTGTGTTGTGGTCAGGTGACGTCGTTCAGCACCCCCCCCACCCCCGAGAGGACACGCCCCTCTTTCTTCTCCCCATCTCTGAGGAGGAAGATCCCGAGGAGTCGCTGTGCGGAGATGAAGAAGAGTCACTCGGCCAATGACAGCGAAGAGTTTTTCAGGGAGGAGGAGGACGAGGGTACACACACACACACTACTTTATTTTGAAGGATTCATTAGAAAAAGGTTACATTTTGTGCTTTTATTTTGTAGTATTCAATGGAAAGAGGCTGATTTCTGCTTTTATTTTTGAAGGATTCTTTAGAAAAAGGCGAATTTCCGATTTTATTTTTGAAGCATGCCTCAGAAGATGCTGAATGTTGTGCTTTTATTTTGAAGGAGTCAATAGAAAAGTCATGACAAAGTATTCTGGCTGGACTGAAAGCCTCACAAAACAGGAAGTAGAAACTCTTGTCAGGATTGTTTTCCAGCTTTAATTAGTAAAGATGTTTGTTCATAATATAAACATGAATAATTATAATTATATATATATATATATATATGTATTTCAGAGCTGCACGCCACCTCTAACCTGCGCTCCCGCTCTCTCTCCGGTACCGGCCGCTCATTGGTCGGATCCTGGCTCAAACTGAACCGAACCGATGACTACTTCCTGTTGTTCTCCCACCTGACCTACGTTACCCTGCCACTGCACCGCATCACAGCAGGTACACACACACACACACACACACACACACACACACAGCATCACAGCAGGTTCACACACCCACACACTCAGATACACACACTCACTCACATCACAGCAGATACACACACACACACACACACTCACATCACAGCAGATACACACACACACACACACTCACATCACAGCAGATACACACACACACACTAACTCACTCACATCACAGCACACACACACACACACACACACACACACACACACACACACACACACACACACACACACACACACACACACACACTAACTCACTCACATCACAGCACACACACACACACACACACACACACACACACACACACACACACACACACACACACTGCATCACAGCAGGTTCACACACCCACACACTCAGATACACACACTCACTCACTCACTCACATCACAGCAGATACACACACACACACACACGCACACGCACACACACTCACACTGCATCACAGCAGGTTCACACACACACCCACACACTCAGATACACACACTCACTCACTCACTCACTCACATCACAGCAGATACACACACACACACACACACACACACGCACACACACTCACTCACATCACAGCAGATACACACACACACACACACACACACACTCACTCACATCACAGCAGATACACACACACACACACACACACACTCACATCAGATACTCACTCACTCACTCACTCACATCACAGCAGATACACACACACACACACACACACTGCATCACAGCAGGTACACACACACTCACTCACTCACTCACATCACAGCAGATACACACACACACACACACACACACACACACCCCCTTTGTAGGAGTGGTTATAAATGTCTACCTGTTTTATTTGATCCCCTCAGATATCCTGGAGGTTCGTCAGAAGCCGATCCTGATGACATAGCAGCTCCTCAGAGCCTCGTCTCCACCAAGTGCCTCCTGCAGCAGAGAACTACAACTCCCAGAGAACTACAGCTCCCAGAGAACTACAGCTCCCAGAGAAACAATAACTTCCAAAGGACTACGGTTCGCAGAATATTACAACCAACACCAATAGAACTACAACTCCCAGAGGACTGCAACCCCACATACATTAAGAATCCCAGAGAACTACAACTTCCAAAACCTGCTTTCCCGAGAGAACTACAACCAATTCCCAGAGGACTACAACTCCCAGAGGACTACAACCAATTCCCAGAGGACTACAACTCCCAGAGGACTACAACCAATTCCCAGAGGACTACAACTCCCAGAGGACTACAACCAATTCCCAGAGGACTACAACTCCCAGAGGACTACAACCAATTCCCAGAGAACTACAACCAATTCCCAGAGGACTACAACACCCAGAGGACTGCAACCAACTTCCAGAGGACTACAACCAATTCCCAGAGAACTACAACCAATTCCCAGAGGACTACAACTCCCAGAGGACTGCAACCAACTTCCAGAGGACTACAACCAATTCCCAGAGGACTACAACACCCAGAGGACTGCAACCAACTTCCAGAGGACTACAACTCCCAGAGGACTGCAACCAACTTCCAGAGGACTACAACCAATTCCCAGAGGACTACAACACCCAGAGGACTACAACCAATTCCCAGAGGACTACAACTCCCAGAGGACTGCAACCAACTTCCAGAGGACTACAACCAATTCCCAGAGGACTACAACACCCAGAGGACTACAACCAATTCCCAGAGGACTACAACTCCCAGAGGACTGCAACCAACTTCCAGAGGACTACAACCAATTCCCAGAGGACTACAACTCCCAGAGGACTACAACTCCCAGAGGACTACAACTCCCAGAGGACTGCAACCAACTTCCAGAGGACTACAACCAATTCCCAGAGGACTACAACTCCCAGAGGACTACAACACCCAGAGGACTGCAACCAACTTCCAGGAAACTACAAATCCTTAAAAAAAACAGAACAACAACCAGAGCCCTGCTTCACCCGGAGGACTACAACTCACAAAAGAACTACAATAACCAAACACCCCTGCTTCACCAGGAGAACTACCAGCCATTCAGGAAGTGCCTCTTCTTCTTCTTCTTCTACTTCTTTATCTCCTGCTGCGTCACATGACCTCAGGAAGCGGAGGGATTGGCTGAACTCTGGACAGGAAGTGGAGATCGTGTGTTTCTGTAAATAATAACCGCTGCTTTTCTCACGCAGACGCCTCCACTCCAGATCCTTCTTTGTTTTTATATAAATCTGCAACGACGGGACGTAGAGGGAGTTTCTGTTGAAGGATTCATATTTATTATTATTATTATTATTTACACACTTACCGCTCAACTAACACGTATATTCTCAGAGACTAACGAAGGAAATCTGTCTATAAAACAGAATATTTAGATTTAAATGTCATTATTTAGGTAGAAAAAAGTGCTGAAATACCAACGAAGAAGCACAACCAGCAAATATTATGTCAAATGTATTATAAGGATGAAATCATTAAATACAAAAAAAGGGGAATTTTACCTTGAAAATGATTTTATTCTGAAAAGACACAGAAAAAATGACTTTACTCTAAAAAATATTAAGAATTTTTTAATATTAAATATTTTCTTTGCGACTCAACGAACGGATCAATTCTATAAAAATATATATAACAAATAAATTAAAGGCGAAGTTTAATTCTTTGTCAAAACGTAGTCTCTGTTTCGCTCCGCTGACTAATCAACTCAACATTTCGGAGTTAAATTTCCAATTTTATTGAAGAAATTCTTCGTTCTTTCCCCAAAAATCTTACCTCTGACGGCGCGTCCACACGGAGACGCTTCCCCTTCACTTTGAATGGGGTGACGTCACGCTTTGCCGAACTGCATTGTGGTCCCGTCGCGGCGCTTTGCCTCCGTTCAGCTTTTCAAGTGTCGACGGAAGCGCCAGCCAATCAGATCAGTGCTTGTGTGTCCGGGGGCAGGAGATTCATGTGATTGGTTGTTGGTCACACGCCAGACACGCCCACCGGCAAGCTTCAACGCCCGCTGCCGTGTGGACGTGGTACCGTTACCCTGACACTGTATTCTTTTGTATTAACCCTTTAATCTGTCATTAAAAAATGATTACTATTTTTTTCCACTACGACATGAAAGTAGAGAAACTCAGCGTTACATTTTTACTTTGTTTGAAACTCAGATTAAAGGAACTGGAGGAGACTTGAAGAAAGATGTTTGAAACTCAGATTAAAGGAACTGGAGGAGACTTGAAGAAAGAAGAAAGAAATAGTGAAATTATTTTAAAAAGGGAATCAAAACTTCCGGATGTTTTTTTGTTGATAGTTTCCTCCCTCTGTGAAGCCTTGAATCTGAGAGAGGACGATATGTGGAGACGCCAACATCAGTGACTGGAGGTTCAATTATGAAGATTACTTGTTTAATTACCTCGACACACACACACACTGAGAGACACACACACACACACACTGAGACACACACACACACACACACTGAGAGACACACACACTCACTCTAAGACACGGAGCAGCCACCGCTTCTCCTCCTGCCAAACTGCACACACACACACACACACACACACAGAGAGAGAGACACACACACAGAGAGACACACACACACACAAAGAGAGACACACACAGAGAGACACACACACACACACAGAGAGAGACACACACTGAGAGACACACACACACACAGAGAGATACACACACACAGAGAGAGACACATACAGAGAGACACACATACACTGAGAGAGACACACACACACAGAGAGAGACACACACACAGAGACACACACTGAGAAATACAGACAGAATTTCTGGGTGTTTCTTGTAAATTTGCCTTTTTAAAGCGTAAATCCACTCATTTATTTAGACTCTGTGCAATATGATCAATTCGGGTGTTTTAATTTTTTTATTTTAAATACCTAAAATGTAAATATTGGAACGACGATTTGAAAATAATCTGATTTTGGCCTCGATTTAGCTCTTATTTTGAAAATGTATTTCCCTGCACACACACACGCACACACGCGCGCGCGCACACACACACACGCACACACACACACACACCAGTGTTATTAACGTAGTTTCTGAATGTATATCACGCTGAAGAACAGCTTTAAAGACACATTTGATATGAGACCGTTCGCACCGTACGCTTTTAGAGACTTTCTAAACGTTTGTTAAACTTTATGATTATTTGACGCTCGTGGTGCTTTTGTACTCACACTGTGCATGTTCATCCATCCTGTTGCTTAGTTCAATGACTGTGTGTACATTTAATGTTTATTTATTGAAATACACATTATCAGAAAAACTCACAACGCTTCTGGGTTTTCTTTCTCGAAAAGAAATGTGCTGATTCATTTCTCAAAATAAAGAATGTGTTTTTTTATTTACAAGAAGTTGTGGTTTTAAAAAAGACCTTAGGATATTTAATTGTACGAAGCCTTTGTCCATCCCTTATGGTTAACTCATTTGTTTTAATTTAATAATTTACTTATCTTTAAGACCAAAACATATTTAAATACTTAATTATAAGGCTCTTTTTTCTTTAATTAAGAGATTTGTCAAAGTATTGTTTTATAAATAATTAAATTCAATGTTGAGGTTTTATTATAAATATCTTTCTTAATTTATCCTGTGGGGAAAGGAGTTAAGTTGTAGTCTTCCAAGAGCAGCAGTCCTCTGGGAGTTGTAGTTCTATTGCGAGTTTTTAAAATCAATGTTGGACAGAGAGTGTTTCTCAATGTGGAGGAAGGATGCTCCAGAGCCACTATTTCAAGCATGCTACGTCATCGAGTCCCGCCGAAGGACAGAGGGTGTTTCTCAATGTGGAGTACGCTTGGTAGCACATGTCCCTCTGAGCGTCTTGCTTCAGAAGCGAGTCAAGAATACTTCCTGACATTCGGAAAACGAAGTGTGGAACAGGCTAGCAAGTGTGCAGGTGTGCGTCATATGAGAGGCCCCGCCTCCTTACATCTTCCGCCACAGATTTGGGGAAATTGGTCCGTGCTCAAAGCATTGTGGGGATTTTAAGACCGCGGAGTCTACTCATGTGCAGCCTCGAGATTTCATGTGTATCCTCCGCGGTCTTAAAATCCCCACAATGCTTTGCGTAAAGAGACTCTCTTTACACAAAGGGGACACATGTCTCTTCTTCATCAACATGTGTCCCCTCTTCTTCATGTCTCTTCATCAACATGTGTCCCCTCTTCCTCATGTCTCTTCTTCATCAACATGTGTCCCCTCTTCTTCATGTCTCTTCATCAACATGTGTCCCCTCTTCCTCATGTCTCTTCTTCATCAACATGTGTCCCCTCTTCCTCATGTCTCTTCTTCATCAACATGTGTCCCCTCTTCTTCATGTCTCTTCTACATCAACATGTGTCCCCTCTTCCTCATGTCTCTTCTTCATCAACATGTGTCCCCTCTTCTTCATGTCTCTTCTACATCAACATGTGTCCCCTCTTCCTCATGTCTCTTCTACATCAACATGTGTCCCCTCTTCTTCATGTCTCTTCTTCATCAACATGTGTCCCCTCTTCCTCATGTCTCTTCTTCATCAACATGTGTCCCCTCTTCTTCATGTCTCTTCTTCATCAACATGTGTCCCCTCTTCCTCATGTCTCTTCTTCATCAACATGTGTCCCCTCTTCTTCATGTCTCTTCTACATCAACATGTGTCCCCTCTTCCTCATGTCTCTTCTTCATCAACATGTGTCCCCTCTTCTTCATGTCTCTTCTTCATCAACATGTGTCCCCTCTTCCTCATGTCTCTTCTTCATCAACATGTGTCCCCTCTTCTTCATGTCTCTTCTTCATCAACATGTGTCCCCTCTTCTGCATGTCTCTTCTTCATCAACATGTGTCCCCTCTTCTTCATGTCTCTTCTTCATCAACATGTGTCCCCTCTTCTTCATGTCTCTTCTTCATCAACATGTGTCCCCTCTTCTGCACCATTGAGTTCTTTGTAACCAAATCTCTCTCAGAGGGGCGTGGGGAGGGGCTCCTTATTTTCATCTAAAGTAACAGACAGAGAATCAGCACTTTGGAAACAGGGCTGAAACAGAGGGGATTATGGGTAATGCTGCAATGATCTGTTTGGTGTTTCAGCCAATCAGAGACAGGCTCTGGATATATCTGAGACCTGTAATATATTGATGAAGAGGAGGATGATAGGGGACCTTTAAAATCTTTAATATGAAGCAGAAATAAAAAATACAGAGATGAAGAAGCCGTTGGGTTAGTTTCCTTTTTATTTCCCACTCACGTCTTTACAAATGTTCTCAGACCGACGAAGGACACTTTGAGACAGGAAATAAAATCACGTTTCCAGAAGCTTCCGCACGACGTGACAATAAATAATCCCAGAGCAACAAAAAAACACTCATTCAAATAAAAAACTGTTTAATGGAAATATTTAATTTGTAAAACCAAATCGACTGAACTCTGTTATCAGGATGCCCCCCCCATCCCCCCATCCCCCCCACATTAAGGAAACATAACTCGTCTGGATTTCAAAATAAAAGCTCAACCGTGACGGGGCGATCACACCGGACGATCAATTTAATTTAACAGATTTTCTTGTGAATTTCTGCATTTTTATACCAATTTCTTTCTATTCAATTTGACATTTTTTAAGAGTGCATTTGTGAGTTCTGTCTTCTTTCTATTTAATCCCTTTGAATTCCAAGATTTTCTTCATTTTTATGCGTTTATTGCAATTAAAATCACAGAAAACTGGAAAAACTCCAAACATTTTACGAGACATTTCACTACAGAAGTTCCATAAGAATGTTTGTAGTAAACGTGAGAGTTGGAGGCGATGTTATTCCCTTTTCAAATTTCACACATTTACTTGAAGACTTTAGAAAAGTTGAAATGTGTGAAATTCAACAGAAAAACCACAAGATAACATTTTCTAGTACTTTTTAATCTACCGACATTGAAACCGGCTCGATAAAAAGTCACTGAACATTTCTCAGACGAAACACAGCAACATCAGTGGGTTACGCCTTGAAGGGTGTTCTTATAAAAGAATCGTTCTAATGTCCTCTCTCCGTCCGGTGTGACCGAGGACTCGGAGCAGCAGCGTCGAGGAATGTCTGAACGGCTTGATTGAAAACAGATTTCACAGTTTGACCACCAATTAATTGAGAGGGGGGGGGGGGGGGGGGGGGGGGGGGGGGGGGGCGACTGTGTGTGTGTGTGTGTGTGCGCGTCTGTTTCTATGTGTCTCAGTGTGTGTGTCTGTGTCTGTGTGTGTGTTTCCCTTTGTGTCTGTGTGTGTTTCTCTCGCTCTCTGTGTGTCTGTGTGTGCCTCAGTGTGTGTGTTTCTCGGTGTGTGTGTCTCTGTGTGTCTCTCTCTTAGTGAGTGTGTGTGTGTGTGTGTGTGTTTGTCTCAGTGTCTCTGTGTGTCTTTCTCAGTGTGTGTGTGTGTGTATGCGTGTCTCTCAGTGTGTGTGTGTCTGTGTGTTTGTCTCAGTGTGTGTGTCTCTCTCAGAGTGTGTGTGTGTGTGTGTGTGTGTGTGTGTGTGTGTGTGTGTGTGTGTGTGTGTGTGTGTGGTGTGTGTGTGTGTGTGTGTGTGTGTGTGTGTGTGTGTGTGTGTGTGTGTGTGTGTGTGTGTGTGTGTGTGTGTGTGTGTGTGTGTGTCTCTCTCAGGCCTTCTTCTCCTCCAGCAGTTTGTGCAGCTGGTCAGCGTCCTCTGAGGTCTTCAATCTGATCAGCAGAGGAACCGGGCTGCTGGGGTTCTTCTCGTCGACGGGGGGGTTCGGCACGCAGACCACCATCACGTTGTTCTTCCCCAGACGAGAGACAGGGAGAGACGCCTGGAGCAGGATGTTCAGCAGGATGTGACCTGAGAGGGAGAGGGAGAGAGAGAGGACGTCAGGTTAAGTATTTAGAAGAATTAGTCAAACTAGAAAATGCATTTCCTGCTGAAAATGCGTATGAATGCTGTAAACTGTGTACATGTGTTGCTGAACTTAGCTAATACGGCTTTAAAAAGTATAAATGTCATAAACAAGAAGTCATAGCAGTCATGTCCTGAAGGAGCTGAACATTTGAATGGTTTCTGTAGCTGAAGAAGTTAGCGGACAAAGTTTGGTTGAAATAATAATAATTGAAGAACAATAGTGTTGAAGAGCATTCACACTAAATATGGTGCAGAGGAACACTGATCAGTTCCTGTGTTTGACCAGCTGGGGGCGCTGTGTGATCACAGTTCAGCTTCTGAGAGAGCTCTGAAAGAATATAATACGTTTATTATACGTTACATGCCACTTAACAGAAGCACGTTGCCCATAAACTACATGTCCCACAATGCATCTGGTTTTGTGACGTGCGCACTGAAGAGAATTGCAATTATTTGCCCTGGACTTCTGCTTTCAGACGTAGTTCATTGTGAAGTTATCACCCTCTCTCCTTCAGGGCTCAACGAGTACAAATATTAAAAACGTGGTGCAGAGAAACTGTTCAGTTCCTGTGTTCGGCCAGCGGGGGGCGCTGTGTGATCACAGCTCAGCTTGTGGTTTCCTCTGTTTAAATGAAGCTCCTTCTGGGTTCAGATGTTTCAGGTTAATGAAACTCACCTGTGGTAACGAGGAGACTAAGAGAGAGCAGGAAATACACCGAGAGGAAAGGGTTTCAAAGCGTCCTGAAATAGACGATGTTCACGGCTCCACGCGAGGTGAGAGACGCCTCTACGCGAGGTGAGAGACGCCTCTACGCGAGGTGAGAGACGCCTCCACGCGAGGTGAGAGACGCCTCCACGCGAGGTGAGAGACGCCTCCACGCGAGGTGAGAGACGCCTCCACGCGAGGTGAGAGACGCCTCCACGCGAGGTGAGAGACGCCTCCACGCGAGGTGAGAGACGCCTCCACGCGAGGTGAGAGAGGTGAGAGACGCCTCCACGCGAGGTGAGAGACGCCTCCACGCGAGGTGAGAGACGCCTCCACGCGAGGTGAGAGACGCCTCCACGCGAGGTGAGAGACGCCTCCACGCGAGGTGAGAGACGCCTCCACGCGAGGTGAGAGACGCCTCCACGCGAGGTGAGAGACGCCTCTACGCGAGGTGAGAGACGCCTCCACGCGAGGTGAGAGACGCCTCCACGCGAGGTGAGAGACGCCTCCACGCGAGGTGAGAGACGCCTCTCCACGGGGTGAGAGACGCCTCTCCACGGGGTGAGAGACGCCTCTCCACGAGGTGAGAGACGCCTCTCCACGGGGTGAGAGACGCCTCTCCACGGGGTGAGAGACGCCTCTCCACGGGGTGAGAGACGCCTCTCCACGAGGGTGAGAGACGCCTCTCCACGGGGTGAGAGACGCCTCTCCACGGGGTGAGAGACGCCTCTCCACGGGGTGAGAGACGCCTCTCCACGGGGTGAGAGACGCCTCCACGCGAGGTGAGAGACGCCTCTCCACGGGGTGAGAGACGCCTCTCCACGGGGTGAGAGACGCCTCTCCACGGGGTGAGAGACGCCTCTCCACGGGGTGAGAGACGCCTCTCCACGGGGTGAGAGACGCCTCTCCACGGGGTGAGAGACGCCTCTCCACGAGGTGAGAGACGCCTCTCCACGGGGTGAGAGACGCCTCTCCACGGGGTGAGAGACGCCTCTCCACGGGGTGAGAGACGCCTCTCCACGGGGTGAGAGACGCCTCTCCACGGGGTGAGAGACGCCTCTCCACGGGGTGAGAGACGCCTCTCCACGGGGTGAGAGACGCCTCTCCACGGGGTGAGAGACGCCTCCACGCGAGGTGAGAGACGCCTCTCCACGGGGTGAGAGACGCCTCTCCTCGGGGTCTGGCATCTTGGAGAGTGATGCTTTTAGTTGTACTTGTTTTATGGTGTGTGAGCTGAGCTGTTTGTTTGTTTGTACATCACTTTGGTCTGGAGGTTTTAAAGTCCTTAAAGCTGTATTTAGCATTTTAACGTCAGGACTCCTGAGGATTTAAAGAGTGAAAGACGCTGTGTTGGTTTGTTTCAAATGCTTAGAACTTATTATTATGATGCATTTTCACTACAGGTGTATTTATATCTCATATCTACTACAACTCATACAACTCATAATACTACTACTCAGAGTTCCCGTTAGAATCTTTTTTCGCCGGTCAACATGTCCGTTAAAGTTTAAATCTTCCGGATAAAATGAGAAAAGTGCCGGTCAAAGGTCTTATTTATTGAGCTTTAAAACAAATTGATATGATTCGATATTAAACAAACTAATTCTAGTAGATTAACTACATTATTCAAAGTGTTCAGTAACTTAAAACACGGGAATAATAAACAGAGCGCTCTCTCTCCTGACAGCCCGTCAGTATCATGCAGCTCGCGGATCCAGTAATGAGTGACCCGACAGTAAAACTAAACATATCTATAACTAGTTTAGGTAGTTTGAGAAGTAATTAAAATAGCTACGTGATGTTCTAACCTGAAGTGTGTGTTGCTCTGCTCGCCGCTGCTGCTGATGATCATGCAGAGCTGCGTGTCGACTCGTCAGCAGCAGCTGATCTCTCTCCCGTCAGATTAGACTTGCGTTTATGTCCATATCGATCAGATCTAGCTAGTTCTAGCTAATGATATGACTACCTGCTTATTAAGACACCTAAACAATAAGCGTCGCTATGCAACCGGGTGAGGCCGCAAAGTATAGCACAGCATTATGCATTTGTTCACATGCCCACCGGAACCCTGAGACATTACCAACAGATCAACGCACAATCAACCCATACATCTCTTTCTCCACATGAAGTGTTAGACACATAGACTGTATATATAAAGGTTAGACATTAGAATTGACTATTCTTGTCTGTCACATAAGTGGTGGTGATGCGGTATTGCGCTAAGGGGAAATTATTTTGACCAGAGAGATTTAGATTTGCCGGTCTTCAGCATATTTTACCGGTCATAGTCTGGTAATTACCGGCTAACGGGGACTCTGCTACTACTACTACTACAACTACAACTCATACTACTATAACTACTACTACTACTACTACTACTACTACTACTACTACTCATACTACTATAACTACTACTACTACTACTACTTGTACTTATACTAATATGTATATCTGATATCTAACTCCTTCAGGACATTCGAGGCGATAGACGTTTTGTTGTTTATACCATTTTAGACCTTGCTTTGAAATATAAATCTTAGCACACAGAGATATATAAATATATATATATATAATGTGTATATTTATACCCAGGTTGGTGTCGGCTCTGATGAGCAGCTGCACTTTGTTGTCGTCGCTCTTCTTCAGATGAAGAGTCCCCACTCCTTTCTCCTTAAACTCAGAGTCCTTCTTATAGAACAGCTTGCACCTGAAACACAACAAACATCACACGTTACACCTCAAGCTGCTTGAGACGAGGACATCTCCTTTAAACAACACTAACCACACGTTACACCTCAAGCTGCTTGAGACGAGGAAATCTCCTTTAAACAACACTAACCACACGTTACACCTCAAGCTGCTTGAGACGAGGACATCTCCTTTAAACAACACTAACCACACGTTACACCTCAAGCTGCTTGAGACGAGGACATCTCCTTTAAACAACACTGACCACACGTTACACCTCAAGCTGCTTGAGACGAGGACATCTCCTTTAAACAACACTAACCACACGTTACACCTCAAGCTGCTTGAGACGAGGACATCTCCTTTAAACAACACTGACCCACCGTTACACTCAAGCTGCGTGAGACGAGGACATCTCCTTTAAACAACACTAACCACACGTTACACCTCAAGCTGCTTGAGACGAGGACATCTCCTTTAAACAACACTAACCACACGTTACACCTCAAGCTGCTTGAGACGAGGACATCTCCTTTAAACAACACTAACCACACGTTACACATCTCCAACGACTCAAACCAAGCTGCTTGAGATGAGGACATCTCCTTGGATCAGTGAATTATACACAAACTATAAACCATTATCTCTGTATGTTAATCTGTGATAAATTGAGAAAAATGTCCAAAATAGCCACGAAATGAACTGATATCAACAATTACTACTACTACTACTATAACTACAATTACTACTACTACTACTACTACTACTACTACTATAATTACAATTACTACTACTACTACTACTACTACTACTACTACAATTACTACTACTACTACTACTATAACTACAATTACTACTACTACTACTACTACTACTAGTACTATAACTACAATTACTACTACTACTACTGCTACTGCTACTACTACTACTACTACTACAATTACTACTACTATAACTACAATTACTACTACTACTACTACAAGGATATTTTAAACAATATTAATTATGAATAAAAGAGTATTATTTACTTCTTGGAGTAGAAAGCGTCGTCCTCCTTCACCTCCTTCACGTCCACTTTGGGAGGCTCGTCTGTCTCCTCCTCTCCATTCTCATCTACACAGAAAAATAACACTTATTTATTATTGATTTAACAACAACAACAACAACAGCAAACTAAATAATAGAGTGTCAGGAATAATGTCAAAACGAGACAAGTGTGTAACTTCTACAGGAGATTTAGTTTAGAATTCTAATTTAGTTTTGGCTTTTTATTATCTTAAATTAAAATATCATGAAGTGCATCAGAGGCTTTATCCAGATCATAAAGCAAAGTGATTCAGCGTTTGTTTTGTTATATAATAATTCAACTAGTATCAGATAAATACAAAATATTGTAATATAGTAGTGGTAGTAAATTACTACCACTACTACCTACCACTACTATAACTACTACTATTACTACTACTACTACTACTACAACTATAACTACCACTACTACTATAACTACTACTATAACTACTACTATAACTATTACTATAACTACTACTATAACTACTACTACCACTACTACTATAACTACTACTATAACTACCACTACTACTACCACTACTACTATAACTACTACTATAACTACTACTATAACTACTACTATTACTATAACTACTACTACTATAACTACTACTATAACTACTACTATTACTATAACTACTACTACTACCACTACTACTATAACTACTACTATAACTACTACTATTACTATAACTACTACTACCACTACTACTATAACTACTACTATAACTACTACTATTACTATAACTACTACTACCACTACTACTATAACTACTACTATAACTACTACTATTACTATAACTACTACTATAACTACTACTATTACTATAACTACTACTATAACTACTACTATTACTATAACTACTACTATAACTACTACTATAACTACTACTATTACTATAACTACTACTACTACTACTACAACTACTACTATAACTACCACTACTACTATAACTACTACTATAACTATTACTATAACTACTACTATTACTATAACTACTACTACCACTACTACTATAACTACTACTATACTACCACTACTACTACCACTACTACTATAACTACTACTATAACTACTACTATACTACTACTACTATAACTACTACTATTACTATAACTACTACTATTACTATAACTACTACTATAACTACTACTATAACTACTACTATAACTACTACTATTACTATAACTACTACTACCACTACTACTATAACTACTACTACCACTACTACTATAACTACTACTATTACTATAACTACTACTATAACTACTACTATAACTACTACTATTACTATAACTACTACTATAACTACTACTATTACTATAACTACTACTACCACTACTACTATAACTACTACTATAACTACTACTATTACTATAACTACTACTACCACTACTACTATAACTACTACTATAACTACTACTATTACTATAACTACTACTACCACTACTACTATAACTACTACTACCACTACTACTATAACTACTACTACCACCACTACTACTATAACTACTACTACCACTACTACTATAACTACTACTACCACTACTACTATAACTACTACTACTACCACTACTACTATAACTACTACTACCACTACTACTATACTACTACTACCACTACTACTATAACTACTACTACCACTACTACTATAACTACTACTACTACCACTACTACTATAACTACTACTATAACTACTACTATTACTATAACTACTACTACCACTACTACTATAACTACTACTATAACTACTACTATTACTATAACTACTACTACCACTACTACTATCACTACTACTATAACTACTACTATAACTACTACTATAACTATTACTATAACTACTACTATTACTATAACTACTACTACCACTACTACTATAACTACTACTATAACTACTACTACTACCACTACTACTATAACTCTACTATACTACTACTATAACTACTACTACTACTACTATAACTACTACTATAACTACTATATAACTACTACTACTATTACTATAACTACTACTACCACTACTACTATAACTACTACTATAACTACTACTATTACTATAACTACTACTACCACTACTACTATAACTACTACTATAACTACTACTATTACTATAACTACTACTACCACTACTACTATAACTACTACTATTACTATACTACTACTACTATAACTACTACTATAACTACTACTATAACTACTACTATTACTATAACTACTACTACTACTACTACTATAACTACTACTATAACTACTACTACTATAACTACTACTACCACTACTACTATAACTACTACTACCACTACTACTACTACTATAACTACTACTATTACTATAACTACTACTATAACTACTACTATTACTATAACTACTACTATAACTATAACTACCACTACTACTATAACTACTACTATTACTATAACTACTACTACCACTACTACTATAACTACTACTACTATAACTACTACTATTACTATAACTACTACTACTACCACTACTACTATAACTACTACTACCACTACTACTATAACTACTACTACCACCACTACTACTATAACTACTACTACCACTACTACTATAACTACTACTACCACTACTACTATAACTACTACTACACTACTATAACTACTACTACCACTACTACTATAACTACTACTACTACCACTACTACTATAACTACTACTACCACTACTACTATAACTACTACTACCACTACTACTATAACTACTACTATTACTATAACTACTACTACTACTACAACTACTACTATAACTACCACTACTACTACCACTACTACTATAACTACTACTATAACTACTACTATAACTATTACTATAACTACTATTACTATAACTACTACTACCACTACTACTATAACTACTACTATAACTACTACTATTACTATAACTACTACTACCACTACTACTATACTACCACTACTACTATAACTACTACTACTACCACTACTACTATAACTACTACTACCACTACTACTATAACTACTACTACCACACTACTACCACTATAACTACTACTACCACTACTACTATAACTACTACTCTATAACTACTACTATTACTATAACTACTACTACCACTACTACTATAACTACTACTACCACTACTACTATAACTACTACTACTACAACTACTACTATAACTACCACTACTACTACAACTACTACTATAACTACCACTACTACTATAACTACTACTATAACTACTACTATAACTATTACTATAACTACTACTATTACTATACTATAAATAAATACACTCTACCACTAATACTATAAACTACTAATATAACTACTACTAATAACTATTACTATAACTAACTACTATTACTACACTAACCACTACTACTTATAACTACTACTAGAACTACTACTAATTACTATAACTACTACTACACTACTACTATACGACAAACCACTACTCTATAACTACTACTACCACTACTACTATAACTACTACTACTACCACTACTACTATAACTACTACCACTACTACTATAACTACTACTACCACTACTACTATAACTACTACTACTACCACTACTACTATAACTACTACTACTACTATAACTACTACTACTATAACTACTACTACTACTACCACTACTACTATAACTACTACTACTACTATAACTACTGTTAAGGAATAATTCTTCTAGATATCTAACCTTTTACTCTGACATGTGTTATCTCCTCTAAGGAAAGGCCTTGGTGCCATATGTGTTGTTGTCACCAGTGTGAGACCGGTCAACTTGACTGGCACGTAGGGTAATTGTTGTGAGAACACTGAGGCATTTCTTTATCGGTGTTTGTGGGCTCTAGGATGTGAAATCCTTGAGTCCATGAGCGTTGGACGCAGATGATTCAGTGTTTAGTCTACTCCTTCAGAGATGTTGATTCTCTGTGAACCTGTTAAAAGGTCTAGCATAGAGAGAGGTTCTTCAGAATTGACGTGGCAACTCTACCGTGTGGTCAGAACCTCTGACTCTTTGATTTGTGATGTGAATCCTCCGGCCGAATACTCTGAATAAACCCATCAGTGTTTGACATCAAAGCTCCAACTCTCACCGTGTCTCCTTCCTGAGTCGGTGACTCCATGCATTACTACACAGAAGTTTCCTCCACAACTACTACTACTATTACTACCACTACTACTACTACTACTACTATAACTACTACTATTACTACAACTACTACTACTACTATAACTACTACTATTACTATAACTACTACTACTACTACCACCACTACTACTATAACTACTACTACTACTACTACTATAACTACTACTACCACTACTACTATAACTACTACTATTACTATAACTACTACCAGTACTACTACTACGACTACTATAACTACCACTACTACTATAACTACTACTACTACTACTACTACTACTATAACTACTACCACTACTACTATAACTACTACTACCACTACTACTACCACTACTACTACCACTACTACTGTAATAGTAGTGATAGTAATAGTAGTGGTAGTAGTAGTGGTAGTAGTGGTAGTAGTAGTAATAAACTAAAGCACATTAATTATAGATATTTCTGTACCTGTGGGTCGAGCAGCTTCAGTTTTGGGCGCACTGAAAGCATCTCCTCCGAACAGCCCAGAGGAGGAAGATGAAGATGATGAAGAGGAGAAGGAGAAGCTAGGCGGAGGTTTTGAGGCTAACGCTGCGACGACACTGCTGTCCACCTTCTGCCCGAAGTTAAACGTGACGCTCTGATTGGTCTCTTCTGCTGGTGTCTTAGTGAAGGAGAAGGGTGATGAAGAGGAGGAGGAGGAGGCTGCAAGAGGAAGAGGAACAGTAGGAGGAGGAAGAGGGTCTTTCTTCTTCTCTCCGTACTGCCGCTCGATGCTGCCCAGGTGCTTCTCGTAGTCTCTGAAGATGGGGTTCAGGTCGCAGAGAGGGTTGTCGTTCACGTGCTTCGTTATCCAATCACGGACCGAGCAGTTCAGAGCCGTCAGCTGACGACTGTACTCCTTACGGGAGGAAGAGGAGGAGGAGGAGGAAGAAGAGGGAGAGGAGCCGTTGGTTTGCTTGGTGTCGGAGCTGAAGGTGAGACCTGAGAGAAAGAAGACAAAGAAGCAGAAGAGTTTTTACATTTACAGATCACCTTGTTGACTTTAAAGATCTCCTATGATGCAAAAGTCACTTCCTGATGTCTTCTCTACATCACCATGTGTCCCCGTGTGTCCCGGTGTGTCCCTGTGTGTCCCGGTGTGTCCCTGTGTGTCCCGGTGTGTCCCCGGTGTGTCCCTGGTGTGTCCCCGGTGTGTCCCTGGTGTGTCCCTGGTGTGTCCCCGGTGTGTCCCTGGTGTGTCCCCGGTGTGTCCCCGGTGTGTCAGGAGACTCTCAAAGTGATGTCTTCTCTACATCACCATGTGTCCCGGTGTGTCCCGGTGTGTCTCCGGTGTGTCTCCGGTGTGTCTCCGGTGTGTCTCCGGTGTGTCTCCGGTGTGTCTCCGGTGTGTCCCCGGTGTGTCAGGAGACTCTCAAAGTGATGTCCTCTCTACATCACCATGTGTCCCCGGTGTGTCAGGAGACTCACAAAGTGATGTCCTCTCTACATCACCATGTGTCCCCGGTGTGTCCCCGGTGTGTCAGGAGACTCACAAAGTGATGTCCTCTCTACATCACCATGTGTCCCTGGTGCGTCAGGAGACTCACAAAGTGATGTCTTCTCTACATCACCATGTGTCCCCGGTGTGTCAGGAGACTCACTAAGTGATGTCTTCTCTACATCACCATGTGTCCCCGGTGTGTCAGGAGACTCACAAAGTGATGTCCTCTCTACATCACCATGTGTCCCCGGTGCGTCAGGAGACTCACTAAGTGATGTCTTCTCTACATCACCATGTGTCCCCGGTGTGTCAGGAGACTCTCAAAGTGATGTCTTCTCTACATCACCATGTGTCCCCGGTGTGTCAGGAGACTCACATAGTGATGTCTTTTCTACATCACTATGTGTCCCCGGTGTGTCAGGAGACTCTCAAAGTGATGTCTTCTCTACATCACCATGTGTCCCCGGTGTGTCAGGAGACTCTCAAAGTGATGTCTTCTCTACATCACTACGTGTCCCCGGTGTGTCCCCGGTGTGTCCCCGGTGTGTCCCCCGGTGTGTCCCCGGTGTGTCCCCGGTGTGTCAGGAGACTCTCAAAGTGTCAGGAAACAAACCCCTCTCTCTTTTCCTCCGTACCCACATCTCTAAAAACGGGGGAACAACGGAGCTGATCCAGATTTGCTGCGTCATGACCACATTACTAAAATGTGGGCGGGCTTTACACCCACGGGCCAATCAGAAACGTTGCTGTCAGAAACCATGAGACGTGTTCTGGAAGTAATATGGTCTGTGTTTACATTAGCATGCTAACACTCAGAGCTAACCTGTGCTGGAGAGAGCATGTGTGAAGGAACTCACCTCGTGGTAAACCTGAGAGAGAAAGAGTTTGAGCTCCAAACTGTTTCAGAGTTCTCCTGATGAGATCTACTCTCTCTCTAAAGCTACAGAGTCATCTCTTCTCTAACAGCTGGAAGAGCGGGGGACGAGGCTACAATGATCTGTTTGGTGTTTGGAGCAGAACACCTCAGAGACATGTGTTTTATGTATTTTTCTGAGACCTATAATACATGCCTAAAAATAGTATAATAGGAGACCTTTAAGTCAGGTGATATGAAGCACAGGTGTGTTCTCTCACCAGGTGTTGTGGCAGTGGAGGCTGGAGAGAAGAATCCTGTGGAGGCTGGAGTGCTGCTGCTCCCATTGGTCGAGCCGCTCAGACCCGTGAATCCTCCTCCTCCGTTCCCAAACCCGGAAAACCCGGTCGGAGCCGGTCCTCCGCCCAGAGCCGGAGTCAGAGAGAAACCTTTGAAGCCTTTAAAAGAGGAGCCGCCGCTTTCCGCCTGACGACACGGGAACCAATCAGAACGACAGGAAATAAGATACCAAACATTCACATGCTAAACATTTCTTAACAGGGTTTAGTAAGAGGAATCAAAAGTATGCGAAAACGGCCCCCCTCCCTCTGGTACATGAAACGGCATATTTATTTCTCAAGACATATATATTAATATTTATCATTTTGGTAGCTTGCGTCCACCATAACATATAACAAAAAGCACATCTTTGAGCTTTTATTCCATATTTAATTCACCAGGGAAGTTGATATTTCAGTTTTTACCTCTCCGATGTTTCTGCGCTTGGCTTTCTTTATCGCCCGGCTCTTCAACACATCTTCAGTCGCAACTAAAAACGTCCCGGCCTGACGACAAAGAAGAAGAAGAAGGAAACGGAGGTAAAACATCAGAAATCGGACAAATCAAAAGTTGTTTTTAAGCTGTAAACTACGGGTGCTCCGACGACACGCAAAGAAGAATTTAAAAAAAGTTGCCATTACATACACACAATTTTAAAGACAATATTTACACAAAATATAAATATGTAAGAGTGAGTAGTGAATGTGAGGCAGAAGCTAACTATCAATAGCTCTTAAACTACATTTATGATATTATAAGTGACATTTTAGTTTAGATTAAACTGTGAAAATGTGGCTTCCAGATCCTCAAATGTGATTGTTTTCTACTCTTCATTTCCAAACGATGTGCAATGCTTTGATTTGTATTTAAACATTTCCCAATTTGGCATCAATTAAGTATATCTAATTACCTTAAATGCCGGTTTAATCGTTTTTCATGGCTGTAAACTAATGGTCTTTGAGTATTGGATTGTTGTTTGTACACAACACATTTAAATCTCTGGTGTACAACAAAGCAAAAACATAGCTTAGGAAATGCTGTAAAACCCATCAAATATATTTTTTTTAAAGGCAGAGAAAATATACATTTGGGACATTAAGGTTGTGACATATCCACTATTAATGTTGTCTTTTAATATGAGGCCTAAATGATTCCCAGAACAGATCAAAATGACAGCGACACCTTGGATATATTTTTCTGCTTGTTTTTGTTAGTTTCAATAATTGTGTTTGTTGTAGGGCTGTGCAATTAATCGTATTTTAATCGCAATTACGATTTTGGCCTGCCACAATTACGAAAACAACATAATCGAAAAAAACAATTATTTAGCTTTGCTTGGTTGTGACACGTGCAACGTATTTGATCTAATTAATTTTGGTCTCATTTATTTGTATTTATCATATTTATATATGTTTAGTAGCTTGTTGAAGTGCGCTCCAAAATATTTGTTGATCTTGTTTATTGGTATTTATTATTTTGATATTATTTATTTAAATGTATCATTTATTTTTGTATTGGTTTTTCAGTTGAATTATACGTTCAGGGAAATCAACAGTTAAAAAGATACTGTTCAAATTATTATTTGTATTTGTTTTAAAGTTCAATAAATTGATTTTTTCAAAGTCAATGAATAATCGTATTTAATAATCGTGATATCAATTATTGACCCAAATAATCGTGATTATGATTTTTGCCATAATCGCACAGCCCTAGTTTGTTGTTGTTGTTGTTGTCCGGCAGTGACTCAGTCAGTAGGGGCTTGGACTGGGAGCAGTAGGGTCGCCGGTTCAAGTCCCCGACCAGACCTAAAATATGGAGTGTGGACTGCTACTTGGAGAGGTCCCAGTTCACCTCCTGCCGTGCCGCCCTTGAGCAAGACACCGGACACCCCCCCCCCCCCATTAATCCCCGGGCGCTGTACAATAGCTGCCCACTGCTGCTAGTACTAGACTCCTGGTACTAGGGTGGGTTAAATGCAGAGAACACATGTCACTGTGTGCTGTGTGCTCTGCATGTGAGACCATTACATCCCTCCCATTCTATTGTCTCACCTCCTCTCCTTCCTCCTCCTGGTCCCAGTTCCTGTCCGTCAGCTCTTTATCAGCGATCCTCTTTGCCATCCCACCGGCTCTGAGACACAGAAACGGTACAACAACAGTTAGCTGATGCATTCATATGTAATTAAGTAATATCATAATATAGTTATTGATTATAACAGTTAGTCAGGAGCAAAGACAGGGTCGTAAATTACATTTAAATGCAGATATTCACTAAATAAACCACAAAACCAGCATCAAAACACAGACACAGAGTGGGTTTATTATGTCAGGGATGTATGGAGTAGTTCACTTGATACTTGTTTTAAATATACTGTACTTACATCTAGACTTACATCAACAACACGGTCAATTTAAAAAGGACAACATGAACAAAATTTGAAGTTATTTGGGATACAGAAAGCATAACGGAGTGTGGCATGGAGGTGTAAAGTGAATGTTAAGTTAATAAAGTAACACGCAAACAGCTTTGAGAATATAAATATACAGATGCAATACAAAGATGTAAACAGGTAGTAAAACAGTAAGGCTTGTTCATTATATAACTACGCTATGTTTTTGCGTGGTTGTACACAAGAGATTTAAATGTGTTGTTTACAAACAAACATAGCAAACTAATAAACCAGCATTTAAGATGTACTTTATTGATCCTAAATTCGGAAATGTTTAAGATAAGATCAAGGCATTGCACATCATTGGAGTAGAAAACAATCACATTTGAGAATCTGGAAGCCAAAAAGAATGACATTTACACCGTTAAATCTGACTAAAATGTCACTTATAATATCATACATGTAGTTTAAGAGCTGATGATAGTTAGCTTCTGCCTCACATTTACTGTACTCAGTTTCTTACATATCAATATTTTGTGTAAACATTGTCTCTATTTTGAATTTGTTAAAATACAAAATAGCTTAAATAATGGGGATTTATTTGCTCTTTTTATGTTTTTTAAATTACGTGTTCTTCTTTCCGTTTCTTTAAAAGTAGCATGTATAATTATTATTTGTTTACCATTCACACCAAAGCTATTCCTCATTGTGTAAACTCACTAACCCTGACGTTAGCTTCACTTAGCTCTTCTTTGCCATCAGATCCTTGTTTATAATATCAGTTAGTTAAAGTTGTATTCATGTTAACAGTTCATGAGGTGGTGATATTAACTTTAAACTGTACAGGCACTAAAAAGCGAAATATGCAGTGTTTTCCGGTGCTAACATCCTCAGGCCGGTAACCGGTAAACGTGTAAAGCTAACCCCCAGATATCTACATGGTTAAGGAGTACATATTGTATGTGTTGTGTATAAACCATTTGTAAACAGTATATCGTTGACATTGTCTGTGATTTTTAGCAATTTAAACAATAAGTTTTAAGTGTTTAGCTTTCAATGCTAACGGCTAGAAGCTAATGTCAAGCTAACGTTAGCTCCTCATACAGACAGATTTAATGTATTTTAAAACCCTTAAACGTACATGTTCTGGACCGTTAATCCAACCTCTTCCTCTCAGTGTTTACCGGACAGATCCTCGGTGTCGCAGATTGTTTTTAGAGAGGTTTTATTTCAGCAGCTTCTGAGGAAAAAATGAAAAACCGAAACTGTTTTGAACGAGCCTTCCTCACGCGGCCATTTTACATCGCATGCATATCTGCATGGGTTCGCGCCGCGCGTAACATCTTCTGGCGCATGCGCAGAAAGATAGGGACGCCTACATTTCAGCACGGGAGTTGTAGTCTTTTATAAAATTCCAATTAAATGTATTATATTAATCCCAATTTGGGGGAAAAATGTGTTGCAGCATAAAACAAAACAAGGCATTGCACAGTATAACAAATTAAAGTAGAAAAAAAACAATAAAAAGCATTTATATTTATATATAATTTAAAATTGATAATGTTTTGGTAATAATATTTAGTATTTAATTTCATATTTTACAGATTATACACAATAGCCCAACATATAAATATTATTAAAATATTAAAGGGATTTAATCCAATAAAAAATAGTCACACAACAACAACAAAAAAACATGTTGCTTCCTCATAATAATAATAATAATAATAATAATAATAAAAATAATAATAATAATAATAAATTGGATTTTTATAGTGCTTTTTTTTATACACGCTTATATTATACTTATAATCAGTGACACCTCACAGCACCCACCCCCTTTTTTTACTATACATTTTTGTATCTTTAATATTTTTGTATGCATGCTTCTTAGGTATCATTACGTCTTTGGCTCTTTTCTGCGATAACAATGTACATTTGGAGCAGATATTTAGGATTTGAGACTAAATGCATGCAGTAAATTATTATTAATGTTACCATGCACGCTCTCTTTTCTCCTGCAGCTTACTGGTGGGAAATCCCTCCATAGAGAGAGAGTGATGCTGCCTGCAGAGAGGGGGATCTGTGGGGGTGCCGGGGGGGAAAGTTTGTGCAGCAGATGGCCCGTCTCCAGATCCAGATCCAGGACCATCAGGACCATCAGGACCTCCTGCCAAACAGGAACAGGTGCTGCACAAACAGGAAGTGATGGGAAGGCAGCAGGAGAGGAGAGGGAGCTGGCAACAGAGAAAAGAGAAGAGGAAAACCTGAAACATGGAGAAGGAGCAGAGAGAGGGTTTTTATAGAGAACCTTTAAGCTATTATGAAACTGTTTCTTATTTGCAGCCGTAAAACAAACACTGCACTCACTACTGGTCGAAGAGATTACTAAATCCCTTTGATATTTAGTAAGATTGTGAGATTTTTACTTTAAAGAGTCCTCTCCTGCTGATGTTCAGGTGTATATCAGTATGTGTCTCTACTTTAAAGAGTCCTCTCCTGCTGATGTACAGGTGTATATCAGTATGTAGTGTCTGTACTTTAAAGAGTCCTCTCCTGCTGATGTTCAGGTGTATATCAGTATGTAGTGTCTCTACTTTAAAGAGTCCTCTCCTGCTGATGTTCAGGTGGATATCAGTATGTAGTGTCTCTACTTTAAAGAGTCCTCTCCTGCTGATGTTCAGGTGTATATCAGTATGTAGTGTCTCTACTTTAAAGAGTTCTCTCCTGCTGATGTTCAGGTGTATATCAGTATGTAGTGTCTCTACTTTAAAGAGTCCTCTCCTGCTGATGTTCAGGTGTATATCAGTATGTAGTGTCTCTACTTTAAAGAGTCCTCTCCTGCTGATGATCAGGTGTATATCAGTATGTAGTGTCTCTACTTTAAAGAGTCCTCTCCTGCTGATGTTCAGGTGTATATCAGTATGTAGTGTCTCTACTTTAAAGAGTCCTCTCCTGCTGATGTTCAGGTGTATATCAGTATGTAGTGTCTCTACTTTAAAGAGTCCTCTCCTGCTGATGTTCAGGTGTATATCAGTATGTAGTGTCTCTACTTTAAAGAGTCCTCTCCTGCTGATGTTCAGGTGTATATCAGTATGTAGTGTCTCTACTTTAAAGAGTCCTCTCTTGCTGATGTTCAGGTGTATATCCGTATGTAGTGTCTCTACTTTAAAGAGTCCTCTCCTGCTGATGTTCAGGTGTATATCAGTATGTAGTGTCTCTACTTTAAAGAGTCCTCTCCTGCTGATGTTCAGGTGTATATCAGTATGTAGTGTCTCTACTTTAAAGAGTCCTCTCCTGCTGATGTTCAGGTGTATATCAGTATGTAGTGTCTCTACTTTAAAGAGTCCTCTCCTGCTGATGTTCAGGTGTATATCAGTATGTAGTGTCTCTACTTTAAAGAGTCCTCTCCTGCTGATGTTCAGGTGTATATCAGTATGTAGTGTCTCTACTTTAAAGAGTCCCCTCCTGCTGATGTTCAGGTGTATATCAGTATGTAGTGTCTCTACTTTAAAGAGTCCTCTCCTGCTGATGTTCAGGTGTATATCAGTATGTAGTGTCTCTACTTTAAAGAGTCCCCTCCTGCTGATGTTCAGGTGTATATCAGTATGTAGTGTCTCTACTATAATAATGCAAAAACACTGGAGTTCTGAATTTGTCGTGTAAATATATGTATTTATAGTTCTGTGTGTAAGTGAACAGGTTTGTGGATAACCTCCTCCTGTATCCACAGATTCCTGTAATTACTTATTATATCTGATTAAGTCATTTTTTCCTGTGTCTCGTCTCTAATTGGCCGTTCTGCAGAAACGAGTCAATTAGTGTTTTACAAATGGAGCTTTAATGAGCTGAATTAATTGACTGGCTATGAGGACGGCTATTAGTGAGAGCTAATGAAAAGGAAGCAGAACTAATGATCGGATGTTCTGAGGAAAGGTGAGAGGACGTTTAAAATCAGTTCATATGTTTTTACTGAATGCCTCATAGTGGCTGAGAGAGGAACTCAAGGGAATAAAATACCTGCTAAATAAAATAAAAAACGTTTATATTTATATAATTTCTTCTAAAGGGAGGGAGGCTGTGGCGCAGTGGGTTAGTGCGTTAGTGTTGGGATCAGGGGAGCACAGGTTCAAACCCCATTGCAGTCAGCATGTCGTTGTGTCCCTGAGACACTTCACCCCAAATTGCTCCTGTGGGGATTGCCCACAGTATTGAGTATGTAAGTCGCTTTGGATAAAAGCGACTAACAAGTGACATGTAATATCCCCCAAACAAGACAAAAGAGTCATAAATAATCTTTATTTTGGTTTTTAGGCTGTGGGTTCTACTTTGACTCAAGTACAATATCTGAGTACTTCTACTTTGACTCAAGTACAATATCTGAGTACTTCTACTTTTACTCAAGAACAAGATCTGAGTACTTCTACTTTTACTCAAGTACAAGATCTGAGTACTTCTACTTTAACTCAAGTACAAGATCTGAGTACTTCTACTTTAACTCAAGTACAAGATCTGAGTACTTCTACTTTTACTCAAGTACAATATCTGAGTACTTCTACTTTTACTCAAGTACAAGATCTGAGTACTTCTACTTTAACTCAGTACAATATCTGAGTACTTCTACTTTTACTCAAGTACAATATCTGAGTACTTCTACTTTTACTCAAGTACAAGATCTGAGTACTTCTACTTTTACTCAAGTACAATAATTGAGTACTTCTACTTGTACTAGTTAAGTTAACAAAAAATGAAATACAGTAAACTAAAAAAGTGAAGAATCAGTAAATGAAGCTCAGAGGAGGCGTGGCTTTAAAGGAGAGGAAGAAGGGGCGGGGCTTTTAAACAATAACAAAGATGGCTGCCGCAGCAATGAGAGCTGAGAGGAGAAAAGGTGAGCGTAAAGCTGCAGGTGAGTTTCGGTTACAGGTGAGTTTAATGTCATGTCATGCTGCAAAGTGCTTATTGTTGACCCAATAACTCTACCTGTGGATCTCTGAAAGCTTATCTCTGCTAACTAGCTTCATGCTACATTAGCTGGTGTTCAATAGCAAGTAGCTTAGCCATGCTAATGTGGTGTTAGCTTCTTGTTCAGCTGAATAAACAGCATGTAGCCTAGTGTTGCTAATTTTATTTGATGTTAGCTTTAGCCCATAACGACATTTTTTGCACTCCAAAAACCTCGTTGTATATTTTGTATATTTTGTACATTGACAATAAAGGCTTTCTATTCTGTACATTTGGTTTATGCCTCCAACAGATGATGGTTATTGTTTATATTTGGTTTATTAGCACATTACATGTTTGCATCCAATTACTTTTTACTGCAAATGCTGCACAAACAATCCCATTTGATTCATAAAGTGTTATCCTATATTCACTTTACTCCAGGGATACTGCGGTTTGGCCCGTTTCAGGTAATGTCTCATTTAATGTTAATTTCCTATATTTCTTGTGTGCATTTAATGGTTTTGAGTGCTGTTTTGCATTAGCTAACAATCCTTTAACACCTCATGCTTGTTGTGAACAATATATGTTGCTGTGATGTAGGTGATCAAACAGAGAAACTCAAACATAATGGTGGAAAAATGCTGATAAATACTGCTTTTCTTAGTGTTTCTCTGCAGCTTTAATGACAAACCCTGAGATATAACACACTGTGCGCGATCATTATGTCAGAGTATTATCTCCACATGACCATTTCCAGCTGAACAATGGCTACGTTTCTGCAGACGCTTGATTTGTGTGTGTGTGTGTGTGTGTGTGTGTGTGTGTGTGTGTGTGTGTGTGTGTGTGTGTGTGTGTGTGTGTGTGTGTGTGTGTGTGTGTGTGTGTGTGTGTGTGTGTGTGTGTGTGTGTGTGTGTGTGTGTGTGTGTGTGTGTGTGTGTGTGTGTGTGTTGTGTGTGTGTGTGTGTGTGTGTGTGTGTGTGTGTGTGTGTGTGTGTGTGTGTGTGTGTGTGTGTGTGTGTGTGTGTGTGTGTGTGTGTGTGTGTGTGTGTGTGTGTGTGTGTGTGTGTTGTTGGCTGTAAAACAGTGTTTATTTACCGCTGCAGAAGAAGAGGCTCTGAGTGAGAGAACTGGGTCAGCAGCTCAGAAACAATTATTCACACAGGATGTTTGAGAGCGGCGGCAGAAACACACACAGTACTCAAATACTCAGAGCAGTACTACAAACATGAAGGATTACTGAACGGACCTGCCTTCACCTCCGACATATTGCATAAAGAGACATGTGAGAACAAACAGCCTCAAAGTGACACTCTTTAGACTCAACGCACAGCTCCAGGATCTACTAGGTTCCTGTTTATCGTAGCACAGTTCCTT